GTGGCAATGATTTTTCATTAAGATGTGTGAACAGCCTGTGATATATCTAGTGTGCTGTTTAAAATTTTAGTAAATATTAAAACATGTTATAGGGGCTTTTATAAGTCAACTCACGACCTGAATTCTTCCAACCCATTCCTCGCGCCCCCCCAGAATGTCTTAGGTTAGCATTTTCAGAGCCTAACCCTCAGAGAGAGCAAGGTTCTGTATTATTGTGATTCCCATTGTATTTCTGTTGATCAAGAAAACCTCAGGGAGGTTAGATAACTTCCCCAAGGTCACTAAGAGTCGAGCCAGATTCGTCGGATTTCAAAGCCCTTGCTCCTTCTATCCAGCAGAACTACACTGAACCCGGAGCAGCTAATGGGATGGGAAGGCCTGAGTCATTTGATGGGAGGGATGAAGAGGCCATGGAGCCCTCAGCCTGAGGACAGAGTGGGAAACTGCAGGCAGGGGAGGTCGACCCCCCGTGAGGGGCTTGCGGTGGGGAGGCGCTTCCCGGACAAGGGTGAGGTGACGGTAAGGAGGGCCTACTAGGTCGGGCCAGGTAAGCTTGTAAACGAATCCGCAGAGGCGTGATGGGTTAGGAGGGCTCAGCCGGGTAGGGGCGTTGGTTGGTTGGGGGATTCCACGGCTGAGCAGAGCCTGGGAACCGGCAAGGACGGGCGAGAAGGCTACCCTGCAGGCCGCACCAGGAAGACAGGTACGCGGAGCTGGGCCTGGCCCTGCGCAGCCGCGCTCCTAGCTATCCCGCCGGTCTCCGGGAGCCGTTCCCAGCATCGTGGGGTCGTTCTCCTCCAGGGGCCCGCGGCCTCTCACCTGCCAGGTGGCCGCAGCGCCTCCCCTCCTCCTCCATCTCGCAGTCCGGACCCCAGCTCCGCCTGCCGCTCCGGATGATGCAGGACTAGAGGCATCATCGCCATCGCCACCGCCTCCGCGCATCCCGGGAGCCGCGGCAAGACGCGGGCGCAGAGGCGCAGTCACGGAGACGCCCAGGGCACCGCCCCCTCCGCCGGACACCGGGCCTGGCGGCCCGCCTGCGCCCCGCACCCTCCGCGCCTCCGCCGCCGGCCTCCCGGGGCCCAGAGCCCGGACACTTCCGCTGCCCGCCGCACGAGGGGCGCTTGAGCCAGAAGGTTTTTCAGGCTCGCAGTTTTGCTGTTTGGGGAACCCAGGCTTCCTGATATAGCCAAAACCTGAAACGCAGAGCAAAGTGGAGTGGGAAGGAAGGGAAAGATAGGGGTACTGATGGCACGCAGGGACCCAGGGAGGTCTTTGCGGGCCTCCCTAGGCTGCTTACCCTGCCAGCAGCCCACCTCCTCCTCGTTCCCCGAAATTGGCGGCGGCTTCCAGTTTGGAACTTTGAGACCTAGATTTTACAAATCAAGTCATTGTAATATAATTTAAATTAAACCAATTTGAACTTACCTAAGCTCTCTTAAGGTATTAGTGAATTAACTGAGGGAACTCAGCAAGGGGACTAATTGGCAGGAAACATGAAAAGTATAAAGAAACTACCCATGCAAATAAAACGACCAAGCCCGGGAATCATGGATATTAATGTATTACTTAATACTATGTTGAATGTAAAAAATCTTGATAAATCATAGTGCAATGTATAGGCTAATTTTAGTAAGCAAAAACACAAAACTAAAACTACCATCCTCTCTCATTCTTCTAATTCATACATGTCCAAAATAATGAACTCCTAAGATAGGTTTTAGTCTGAACAATCAAGTAACACTCCTAAGTATGTCTGCTATTATGGGTACAAAATAAAACCAGTTAAACTCTTCCTCCTTCAGTATCCCAACCTGGCTAACTAGGATCTTACTACTTTTCTAACCTCAGGGATGCTATTTAGAAACAGAGAATGTTATTTGAAGGCCCTGTGCTTCATTCACTCTGGTTACCAGAAAACCAAAGTTGATTCTGTTCAGATGAAATACTTAGAATGTTGCTACTGGATTCTTCATTTAAGCTAACGGTTTATCTTTTTAAAACAGAACTAGCAAGTATCAAGTAATTTAATTAATGCAATTTCTTCAGTTCCCTATGCTTTCATAAAACAAACAAACAAACCCGAAAAAACAAAAAACATGAAGAGGCTGGATAGTTTATTATTCAGTCCAGGAGCTGAGTATCCTATCAGAATTCTGTTTAGAAATAACTTCAAGAAAGTTTTCCAGTTTCCACATATTCCACTTCCCAACCACTTGCAATGAAGCAGTTCCAATGTATGTTGTCAATAATGGTAACCTTGAGTCCCACAAAAAATCAACAGAAAAATACTCATTAGCATTTGGAGTGGGAATTCTGATCAAAATTATATACCTCTGTATATAAATTAGCTACTGCATAAATAAATGCTAGTCCATTTCCAGGCATTTGGCTATATGAATGGAGATTACAACAGGTCTGGGCTGGATTGCGACCATCGGTAAGGTGAGTTACACCTTACCGGAGAAATGGTCTCAAACTGAAAACAAACAAAAAACCACAAATCATAAAGGATTCTAGAGATGAAGAGGAAATCAGGACTTATCAAAGTTCCAGAACTAGCTAGAACCATTCAACAAGGCTAAAACTAGTACATCTATAAAATCCATAAGTGAGCGAAATTGGAAAAAACATTGGTAGTAAAAAAATGGAAAATCTGCAAATAAATAAGCAGGGCTAATTATAGATCATGAATTGGCTATCAATCTGCCCTGACACTAGCATTCTTCTAATACACTCTTACTATTGCAATGCAAATTGACACATGTGCACTTTAAGGAAAACAGCATATATGAGAGCTCTTAAAATGGTCTTCAAAAAAAAAAAAAAAGTTCTTGACCTAAGCATCTCTTACTCCTTGGAACTACTCCAACAAAAGAAGAGTTTTAAAGCATAAAGGTATGAAAATGTGCACTGTGGTGTAATTCGTAGTACAGGAAACTGAAGACAACCCTGATGTTAAAAAGGAACACTTAAAACAATTAGGATATACTAAGAGACAAAGTCTACAAAAACAATTACAAAGACTATGTAGAAAAAGTTACTTTTCCCATGATGACAGCTCACGATTTTTTTATTTTTTTATTTTTGTGAGACAAGGCATCATTCTGTCACCCAAGCTGGAGTGCAGTGGCCTGATCTCAGTTCACTGTAACCTCTGCCTCCCACATCAGCCTCCCAAATAGCTGGGACTAACTACAGGCACGCACCACCACGCCCAGCTATTTTTTTGCATTTTTTGTAGAAATAGGTCTTTCTCTGTTGCCCAGGCTGGTTTCAAACTCTTGGGCTCAAGCGATCCTGAAGTGCTGGGATTACAGATGTGAGCCACTGCGCCTGGCCGAAAGTTAATTTTTTAATAAAACAAAATTGCTCTCTGGTCCTTCTGGCCACACTACTAATTACCAAAAGTGCCCTGCAGCCTAAAGGGCTTGGTAATGATAAGTATTTCAAATATTTGAAAACAGCTTTCTCATATATTTGCACGTAAACTTTCAGTCATTTACATGAATAGGTGAGTTAATTTTCCTCCTAAATTTTGAAGCACAATCTGCAGTCTTTGCTTTCTAAAGGATCCATGCAGAAACTAAAGATGTATTTGACCTTAGAAAAAGATATACAGGTTTTTTCTTCCCCTCACTTCTCATCCACCCCCATAGAGCGGCCCATGCTCTCTTCCATGCCCAGTCAACAGTGACTTCCAAACACAGGTCAGCCTCACCCCTCCTCCTCTAGTAAACCTTGTTACCACCCTTAACACAGTTCCTGCTGTCCTTCTCATGCTTTTTAATGCACCATATACATTTTAAGAACTATCTTAGACCATATAAACCATGCAACTCTTTTCTCCCCCCTTCTCCTTTTCCCTCCTGGTAAAAAATTTCATTTTTCCTATTGGTAAAAATTTAATTCACAAGACAGTGTCACTGGGGGAAATATCAAAGTAATAAGCAACTTCCAAACCCAGAATCAGAATGACCTGGGAGCATGTTAGGCACTCAAGGTACTCTGTTTTTAGGTCTGTGGTGGGTTTTGTGTGGTTCTCAATCCTAGCTGAACAACTGAATCATCATAGAGCTTCTAATACTGTTATGCCTGAGCACCCCTGCTAGAGAAGTTTTCATTGAGGAACAGAGAGGGCACCCAGTATCTTAGATGTTTTTTTAAAGTTCCCATTTAGGAACCACGGCTAACGCAGTTTCATACAGCTTAATTAGAAAAAGCTGAAGTGGTCAACATACAACGTAAAGCCTCACTTCTCAATGTGTGGCCTCAGGCAGGCATTGATATCATGAAGTGGGAACAATGAATTCCATGTACATTCTAACCAAATCCCCTCATGATTCTTAGGCACATCAATTTAAGAACCAATCACTTAGGACCAGGTACAGTGGCTCATGCCTGTAATCCTAGCACTTTGGGAGTCCGAGGCAGGTGGACTGCCTGAGCTCAGGAGTTTGACACCAGCCTGGGCAACATGGTGAAACTCTCTCTACTAAAATACAAAAATCAGCCAGGCGTGGTGATGTATGCCTACAGTCCCAGCTACACTAAGGCATGAACATTGCTTAAATGTGGGAGGCAAAGGTTGCATAAGCTGAGATTGTGCCATTGCACTCCAGCCTGGATGACAGAGCAAAATTCTGTCTCCCACACCCCTACACAAAAATAATCAATCACTTAGGTCAGTGCTAGGTGAACTTTCTGTGATGATGGAAAAGTTCATCGATGCTATTCAGTGTGGTAACCACTAGCTACATGTGGCTAAAGAGCATTTAAAATATGCCAGTGAGACTGAGGGAATAAACTTTTTATTTAATTAAATATAAACAGTCAGATGTGGCTAGTAGCTACTGTATTGTACAGGGCAGACCTAGAAAATTTATACTAGTCAGAGGACATACATTTACAGATACAAATCTATAGCTGCAAAATGAAATCCACAGGAGTCACTGCCTACAGAACTGTCTTCTCCTCTTAATGAAGACAAAAGCCAGGTGTTAAAAACAATCCATTTATTGGGTTTTAAACTAGTTACACAGTTGAAATCAATTTGGCACTACTTTATACAGGGATTACGCCTGTGTATGCTGACACTTAAATACTGTACCAGGACCACTGCTGTGCTTAGGTCTGTACTGAGTCATTCAGCATGTAGATACTAAAAATATACCGTAGTGTTCCTTTAAGGAAGACTGTACAGGGTGTGTTCCAAGATGATATTCACCGATTTGTGAATTATTTCAATCTAGAAGATACCTTTCACTCTATAAACTTGTCATACGCAAACATGTGATGTTAGCATTGAGAGATGCACACAAAAACGTTACATAAAAGTTCAGACATTCTAATGATAAATGAACTGAAAAAAAGAGAAAAACCCCACATCTCAGTTTTTATAACAAGGAAAGATAAAAGAAAATAATTTAAAAACACAAAAAATGGCATTCAGTGGGTACAAAAGCCCAAAATCACTATAATAAAGAACTACATGTGAATCTTTACAAATTACACAATGATGTTGTGTAAAAGGTTGCATCTGTACAAAGTCTTGCCAATGCTATCTCTACAGTTTATACAATCTTTTACATTTATATAACATATATTAAACAAATCAATTAAATATCAAGCCTTATTAGTCTCTCAACGATTCTGCAGGCAAAATAAAAAGGAAGAGAGAACAAAATAAAGAAAAAAAATTACAAAATTTCCACAAACACAGCAGTCTTTCATTTAGGTGAAGTATAACAATTTTCAGAGGGTCAAAAAATAGTTGTAAAGAATACAGGGAAAAACCAGCCAGTCAGGGTTTTTATTGTTGTTGCTGTTTATTTTTAAAATCACACATTGAATACACACAACAATCAGAAATTTCTTCACCAAATCCCCAATTTTTTAGCAACTGGCTCTATTCAGCACCAAAAACTCCAGTCTGTGGGAAGTGCACAGACACAGACTTCACTTCTGTGTCTTGGTCGAGCAATCCATCAGGTCATTGGTTAGGTTCAGGACTTGCCCTCTTTTCCTTCCCTCTTCATGGCTCTCCAGACCCAAGGTTCTCAAGGCTTCAGATTTATGGCCCACAGCCCTACTACCATCTAAATCCAGCAGCCATTTGGGAAGAATTGAAAATAACTTGAGAAGAATGAAATGACAGGACCTGTGTGACAGATGGGCATTCTCCATTCCAAGTCAACTGTTTCTTAATGAGTTCCGAGACTCTGGTCTTGGATGCCATGATCATACTGGGTAATTATTTCTAGTCTGAGACTTTGTGACTTTGTCAGATGCCTCAAAAAAAAAAAAGTGATCAGTATTCTGGAAACACTTCCGGACAAGTTAGGAAATCAAATGGCAACTGAGAAGCTGTGGAATGCACACTAATGAGATCTAACACAGAAACCACCAAAATGATGAGAGCTCAGCAGAGGCAGTTTTAAAACTTGCAGAGAGCCACCACAGATGGTACCTGAGGGTGTGGAATTTTTGATGAAAAGAGCCTGAAGTGAGGACTAGTCATCTGTATCAGGGAGGAAAAAATTTCAATTAGGTAACAGGACATCCAACTCTAAAAGCCCAATACATGAAATTTTATTCTTCCTATTCCAGTAGAAAGGCTCCCTCTTTAACAGAATGGGTGTAAGAATCCAGATGAAATGTTCTCACAACTTTCTAGAACCCAGAGTCCTCAGGGCCACACAAAATGTCCCAGTCCCACCCAGGAGGCAACTAAGAATAAGATTTATTTTCCTTTATCTAACTATTCCCAGGCTACTGACACCACTCATTTACAAAGGTTCAAAAGCTGTCACACATTTTCTCTGCTTTATACCTAAAGCAAGGAGGCACAGAAAAATTCTCATTTCCAATGGCTGTGGCAAAAGCCATGTTTAAAAACAAACAACCCCCACCATCCAACTTTATCTAAACACTGACATCTAAGAATGTCAGCAAAAAGAAAAAATAAAACAATAAATACCTACTTCTCAGTCACCAAACCAATGACATTTGCCTGAGGATGTCACGTCTTTAAATTCAGAACTTTGCCGACTTACCTTTCTATGCATAATAGCATGGTGACACAAGAAGATCGGTGAGAACAAGCAGTTGGTCATCAGTGAATTGCTGTTTGTGTTCCTGCCAGTTGTCATGGTGAGTCCTTCGGAAATTGGATAAGGTTTTTTTTACAGTCATCTGTAAAGTAGACAATCCACATACGTTTTTAACCTCTCTGGACAACCAGGATCATATGTAGGATATTTTTAGTTAAATTACCATCCCTCTAGACTTCAGATCTCACACAATACCAAATGCTACAAAACCAAAAAGCCGATGAGAAGGACAAAGTCAATGGTCTTTTGAGTTGCTAAAAATGCCATCATAATTTCCTATTTAATACTAGCTTCCAGTAAAATACTTTGCAGTGCTAGAAAAATAGAAACATAAAATTTATCACAGCTATAGTGACAGTACTTTACTTCCATTGAACTGGGAGGGATAGAAGCTACAATAATTTCCTGACTACCAAAAGATCTCAAATATCCATGGCAGCAAGGTCTCTGTAATTTTTAAATAATTACTGGTGAACAGACTGAGCCCTGGAAGAGGCAGTAGCTTTATGAAAGCAGTTAGTTCAGAGTGTATAGGAAATTATTATTATGGTTTCTTAGAAAACATCACTGATACTACATGTACAAACTAATCAGGAAGAACTGTACCTCAATAGGCTGAGGATCATTTAGATGTGCACTGAGATTCATGAGGAGCTGGGGCATCCAGGTGGGAACATCGTAAGGACTAGAAAGAACACATGCGCCAAGTCCTAGCACCCCAGCATGGCGTTTGACCAACTCTGCAAAGAAAACAGCAACATATGTGCAAATATTTACATGTCTCTAATGCACTTGTGACAGTGAAATAAAATTAGTTTTCAATTATGTTGTTTTCAATATGTGAATTTCTGCATTTAAAATGAATCTACATGTATACACATCAAAAACTTGATTTTAAGGCTAAACTAAAAATAATACTGTATTTAAGAATTTGTCAGCCAGGCACAGTGGCTCATACCTGTAATCCCAGCACTCTGGGAGGCCAAGGTGGGAGGATCACTTGAGGCCAGGAATTTGAGACCAGTCAGGGCAACAAAGTGAGAACCTGTCTCTCCAAAAATACATTTTTAAAATTAGCTGGCAGTCAGGCATGGTGGCTCATGCCTATAATCCCAGCACGTTGAGAGGCCAGGACAGGTGGATCACCTGAGGTCAAGAGTTCAAGACCAGCTTGGCCAACGTGGCGAAACCCTGTCTCTACTAAAAATACAAAAATTAGCTGGGTGTGATGGCATGTGAAGTCACAGATACCCAGAGGCTGAGGCACGAGAATCATTTGAACCGGGGAAGCAGAGGTTGCAGCGAGCCAAGATCGCACCACTGCACTCCAGCCTGTGCCACAGAGCGAGGCGCCATCTCAAAATAAAAAAACAAAAACAAAAACAAAATTAGCTGGGCATGGCAATGCATGCCTGTGGTTCCAGCTGGACAAGAGGCTGAGGCAGGAGGATCGCTTGGGCCTGGGAGGTCAAGGCTGCAGTGAGCTATTGTTCAAAACCACTGCACTCCAAGGAGGGCGACAGAGCAAGACCTTATCTCAAAAAAAAAAAAAAAAGATTTTTTTCAAGACTTCCATAGTTGTTCATCCATGACAGCATAATTGTACCTAGGCCAGTACAATCCCTGATTCTAAAATAATCTCCAATCAAAATTAGCTTTTTTTTTTTCTGGATGTGACGACCCTACCCAGAATACATTGATTCATTAGTTAACACATCATGTATGAAGAAGGTCTATTTCTTAAAACAGCGAATTGCAGCATGTCTGTATTCTAAAGGGTCTCTATTCTTTCTGTAGTGCTGTAAGTTAAAGTCGTTTCAAATTCTCAGTTTCTCAATAAAGGTGTGTGTATTCATATGTTTTAAAACATATTACATGTGTATATGTGACACATGGAAAACGGAGTTGAAGGTAAGGAAAAGAGAATTTGGACTGGTCAAAATTGTAAACAATATCATTTGGTGTAACAAAGACCTAAAAATACTTTGGCACTTTATCATTTAAAAAATAGAGTTCTCAGGCCGGTGCTGTGGCTCACGTCTATAATCCCAGTATTCTAGAATGCCCAGGTGGGTGGATCACTTGAGGTCAGGAGTCCAAGACCAGCCTGACCAACATGGTGAAACCCCATCTCTACTAAACATACAAATAATTAGCTGGTGTGGTAGTGCGCGCCTGTAATTCTAGCTACCCAGCTAACAGAGGCATGAGAATTGCCTGAACCCAGGAAGTGGAGGTTTCAGGGGGCCGAGATCATGCCACTGCACTCCAGCCTGGGTGACAGTGGAAGATCCTGTTTCCAAAATATATGTATTATAAAATATGTTTATATTATATATAAAACATATATATGTATATCCCAAAAAGCAAAGATACTAGAACGTACATTGATATTTAATTGGATTCTGTTACTAGGTAACTTTATGACATAATTAACACTAATCAGCAGTAAAAGTTTTATATTCTAAGCACTTCCTCTAAATTCAATAAAATGCCTACTTACTATTAATCTTTTTATGTATTTTCTATTAGGATTATAGTTAACGTGGCAAGATGCATCTTTGTAATCACATTCACATTTCTCTTTAAACATGACATAGTAGTCAGATCTTATTCTCGTGTTTAACTTGTGTCTATATTCAACTAGATTGGCAGCTCCTGCAATGACTCTGCACTCTCTCACCAAAGGACTAATGAAGGACCAAATAATCCCCATCTCCAAATCAAAACAAGGCTTGCTTTGTTTAGTTTTTTCTGTCAGTACATCTACATTTAAGTTCTAAATTCCAAAAGCAGGTATTTCAGACCCTCCAAAATAACTAATCTGAGTATCTCTTTTATGAAGCTATTCTGGGTGGAGGGTAGACTGATTACAATAGTTATTAGGTAGCAGTTCTATAGGTTCCTTTGTACTTACCTCAATTTTAGCTTTTCTACATTCCCAAGTCCTGCTTTCTATATGCAAAATTCCTCAAAAGTAGGGAAAACTTTTCCCAATACCTAGCATAGACCTGGGCACATACATACAAGTATTCAATAAATATGAGTAAGCCTGGTTAACCCTCATTAATTCCCAACAGGATATGAGTGTTTTCTACCAGCAATGTTACCTGCAGAAGGAATGGTATCTCCTACAGAACCAGGGTCTCGCTTTCTTTTCTTAGGTAGTTTTGTTTTGCAAAGTTGCTCAAAATGAATCTGCATAGGACTGTCCATGGTAAGGAAGTTACACTGTAGCAGACCGCTTAAGGTAGTAGCAGCCATTTCTCGAACCTGTAGATATAATTATGTCTATTAGAACTGACATTCTAAGTCTGAGGGAATAATGGAGGATAGGGGGTAGTGTGGGAACTGGGGTGAAGACCTTCCCTGAAATTGCATGCAAATTTTGTGTATGCTCTTTGGCAGTTTCTTAATAGAGCTTTCAGCAGATTCTCTGAGTCTGTGGCCTCATAATGGATAAAAACTACATTAGGGTTATGAGCGTAAACTTTTACCTCTTTTAGAAAAATTAAATTTCTCCATCAATTATCTTCCCTACTGATAGCTCTCATCAGGGCTATAACTGTAAAAGCAGTGCCAGAGCCTGACATTAAGATCAAGTTTTCCCAGACTACATCTCTGAAGGCCACTGCCTTGGCTATTTTTGTTAGTAACAAAGCACAGACCAACCTAATTTCTGTAATTGGCATACATCATAGAGACTTATATCCTGTTTAATTCTTATGAATTTCACAGGCTGCTGTGAGATTATAAACACAGTTTACACAAACACTAAATGAAGCGTGTACACAGTTCATTTCAAATTGGAATGGTAACTCAACTTTTTGGAAAAAAAGCAGTAAAAAGGCACCATTTCACATATAAATCACAAACATTTATGTTTAATGTTCATAATACACAATGATAATTTTAAAAAACAGATGTTTTGCTCTGTTGTATTCCTTCAAAAGGTTTTTCATAAGTTTATCATCATAGTCCGTTGAGTACATAACGTTCTTTCCTGCGTCCGTTACACTAGCATATGAAATACATTGTAAAATGTTTTACTGGTTGCACTATTTCCTATAAAGCTTATATGCCATAATTTTTCTTTTCTTTTTCTTTTTTTCTTTAAGACGGAGTCTCGTTCTGTCGCCCAGGCTGGAGTGCAGTGGCGCGATCTCGGCTCACTGAAAGCTCCACCTCCTGGGTTCACGCCATTCTCCTGCCTCAGCCTCCTGAGTAGCTGGGACTACAGGCACCTGACACCATGGTTAATTTATGTTTTTGTATTTTTAGTAGAGAAGGGGTTTCCCCAGGATGGTCTCGATCTCCTGACCTCGCGATCTGCCCGCCTCGGCCTCCCAAAGTGTTGGGATTACAGGTGTGAGCCACTGCACCCGGCCTCCAAAATTTATTTTCATAATTAACTACTGACTAGATTGCTTTCATATTTTCAGCACTATGCTACAAATATTTGTAATTTGTGTAACTTTTCATATTATAGTATATATTTTCACTCTGAGTTTTTAAGTTTTTAGTTTTTGTAGACATGGGTCTCACTCTGTTGCCCAGGCTGGTCTCCAACTCCTGGGCTCAAGCAATCCTCCTGCCTTGGCCTCCCAAAGTGCTGGGATTACAGGCGTAAGCCTCCGTGCCCAGCCTGCAGTGTATTTTCTTAGAATAGATTACGAAAATTGGGATTAGTAAATGTAAATATATAAACAATTTTACTGTTAATTTTATGGCTATTTATTGCTTTTCAAAAAAGCCAGTGCTAACATATAATGACACAAAACTTAAATGTGAACTACCCATTATACTTTACACTGCTTTTCATTACTACACATTTTTGTTTTGTGAGGGGAGGAAAACACTAAATTAGGAGTAGGTAAAAATGCCTCATTGTTTCAAGTTTGCATTTTCCTGGTTATTGGGAGGTGTGACTTTTTATTGCTTATAGCATGTAGTGTCTTTAAGTGTATACATTATTATAAGACCACTACCACTCTAAGTAGTCAGATCTGTGCATGTTTTGATGTGACATCTATTAACTCAAAGGCTTAGAGAGTCATTTCTGCTTCTATTATGTTCCTATAAATAATATCCAAATCCACTTTCTCCTAATTTATTTTTTAAAATGCGGAAGGGGGCGGGGGTTGGCCGGGCATGGTGGCTCACGCCTGTATCCTAGTACTTTGGGAGGCCAAGGTGGGTGGATCACCTGAGGTCAGGAGTTTGAGACCAGTCTGGCCAACACTGTAAAACCCTGTCTCTACTAAAACTACAAAAATTAGCTGGGCGTGGTGGCAGGTGCCTGTAATCCCACCTATTCAGGAGGCTAAAGCAGGAGAATCACTTGAACCCAGGGGACGGAGGTTGCAGTGAGCTGAGATCACACCAGTGCACTCCAACCTGGGCAAAAAGAGTGAAACTCTGTCTCCAAAAAGTGGGGGAGAAGGTGAGTCTCTTTACTATATCAAAAATATACTGTAATATGAAACGTTTTAATTTATTTTTCCCTTACTCTAAATTGCTAACAAATGATCCCCAACACTTTCAACTGATTTATGCTGTTTTCCAGTGACAGGGTCTATTTCTGAGATATTTTACTCCAGGGTACGTGTCTATAATTAATTAACTTTAAAAAGTGAGGAAAGAATAGATTTAGCCTTCTCAGCTAAAAACATACTCTTTTCCTCTATTTCTAATAATTTTCCTTTAAATACAGTAAGGTTTCTTTCTTTCTTTCTTTCTTTCTTTTTTTTTTTTTGAGATGGAGTCTTGCTCTGTCGTTCAGGCTGGAGTGTGGTGGCATGATCTCGGCAAGCTCCACTTCCCAGGTTCATGCCATTCTCCTGCCTCAGCCTCCTGAGTAGCTAGGACCACAGGCTCCCGTCACCACACTCAGCTAATTTTTTTTGTATTTTTAGTAGAGACGGGGTTTCACCATGTTAGCCAGAGTGATCTCGATCTCCTGACCTCGTGATCCGCCTCCCAAAGTGCTGGGATTACAGGCGTGAGCCACAGCGCCCAGACTAAATACCGTAAGGTTTCTTTAAACAGTTCTCATTTAGATAACATTGTTTCTCCCCATACTATCAATGAATAGAAATTAGCAAATTATCACTGCTTTTTGGTATTACATGTTGCTTTAAAAAATGATAGTTTTCATGAACATCATGGTTATGTTTACATAACAGCTATGTTTAAACCTCTATATGGAAGAAAACATAAAAATAACTTATAAGGCCAAGGCGGGTGGGTTGCTTGAGCCCAGGAGTTTAAGACCAGCCTGGGCAATAATAATGTGGTGGCGAGTGCCCACTGTCCCAGCTACTCAGGAGGCTGAGGTGGGAGGATCACTTGAGCTCAGGAGGCAGAGGTTGCAGCGAGCCATAATTGTGCCACTGCACTACAGCCTGGAGAACAAAGCAAGACTTGGTCTCACAAAAAAAAAACAAAAATCAAACAAAAAAAAACTACCCCACCATAAAAATGTTCTAAAAGAAGCTCCTAAAAACTACATTTTTAATACAAGTGGTATAATAATTAAAGTTAGGAGACAATGACAAGGTTTCAACCTTTCTACTCCTTTATGTTAGTTTTTAAAGAATACAATAAGAAATTAGAAAAAAAAAAAAAATCACAGCTGTAAATATTTTAATTGAAGCCTGTTAAGAGTTGTTATAACCAGTCTGTGAGTACTACTGGGACTAGAAAATATCCACTCTCAGAATGTAAGAAATATAAATAGGCTCATTAGGAAGGTAGAGAAATTTCCATTCCTACTTTCCTGTGAGTAAAATCTATTTTCTTTTTTTTTTTTTTTGAGACGGAGTCTCGCTGTGCTCCCAGGCTGGAGTGCAGTGGCGTGATCTTGGCTCACTGCAAGCTCCGCCTCCCGGGTTCACGCCATTCTCCCGCCTCAGCCTCCCAAGTAACTGAGACTACAGGCGCCCGCCACCTCGCCCGGCTAGTTTTTTGTATTTTTAGTAGAGACGGGGTTTCACCATGTTAGCCAGGATAGTCTCGATCTCCTGACCTCGTGATCCACCCGCCTCGGCCTCCCAAAGTGCTGGGATTACAGGCTTGAGCCACCGCGCCCGGCCGTAAAATCTATTTTCAACTCGAATAAGTATATAAAATACTGTGAGTACTTTACTACAAGAAAAAACTATGAAGTCCATAAAACAAGCAACATTTTCACCAAAAATTCAATGACATTTTCTTCCTTAATGCCAACTTAAAAAGTAGTATCTCATGCCATATTTACTGCCAACATGCTTCTTACATTAGGCTATATGGGATAATACATTATCTTTTTGTACAAAACATTAATGCAACCTCACCACAAAGTTATCTTTAATTTCTCTACCAAAGAAAAACAAAAAAAGGACAGCAAACCTATCTTAAGTCTATTGGATAGCAGCGTCTATGTGTAGATGTTTACTCCCTTTGAAACTGCCATCGTGCACATTCTCATTAAGTCCTTAAAAATCAGTACAACTAGTGGGACAATTACAGTTATCATCCCCAATTTCTCATAGTTAAGAAAATTTGGGTTCACGAGTATTATTTGCCCAACTGCAAAGAAAACAGAATGAAAACGTGCCCAATTTTTCTTCCATTTGTATTATAAGGAATCATGATTAGGGTATCAAAATTACTCACATAGGGCTACGTTAAAATTAAATTTACTTTTATTTAATTTTTTTGAGTCAGGGTCTCACTCTGCTGCCCAGGATGAATGCAGTGGTGCAATCACAGTTCACCGCAGGCTCAACCTCCAGGCTAAGCAATGCTCTGACCTCAACCATCTGGATAGCTGGGACCACAGGCGTACACCATCACATCCAGCTAATTTTGGTACTTTTGTAGGGACAGTCTTGCTACGTTGTCCAGCCTGGTCTTGAACTCCTGGCATCAAGTGATCTCACTGACTCAGTCTCTCAAAGTGTTGAGGTTATAAATATAAACAATTGCACCTGGCCACAAATACTTATTAAAAAGGGAACTATGATGGTTTCTTTAAATTGACTGAATTTCCATTTTCTATAACTTAAATTTTACCTCTAGTTGTTCGTCCTCCAAAAGACTTATAACCAGCCACCTGATATCTTTAACTGCATCTTCATTGTTTAGGAAAATAAAGAGGTTATAAAATACCATGGTCTGGAGGTAGGTCAGTATTGTGTATCGTGCATGCCAAGAACTGCTTCTTGCTGTCTGTGAATGAGAAATAAACGATAAAGCAGTACTGACGAGAACATGAGGTGACAGATAGTGACATTACAGACAAACAATGTAACATTCTAATTTAACTCTATTTTCACAGCTATAGCTAGGACAAGCTCATCTTATATTTCCTTATAAATAAAAGGTTGAATGAGGCCAGGTGCGGTGGCTCACGCCTGTAATCCCAGTACTTTGGAAGGATGAGTGAGGTGGGTGGATCACCTGAGGTCAGGAGTTCGAGATCAGCCTGGCCAACATGGTGAAACCCTGTCTCCACTACAAATACTAAAATTAGCTGGGTGTGGTGGCAGGCACCTGTAATCCCAGCTACTTGGGAAGCTGAGACAAGAGAATCGCATGAACCTGGGGGGCGGAGGTTGCAGTGAGTAGACATGGTGCCGCTGCACTTCAGCCTGGGCAGCAGAGCGAACTCTGTCTCAAAAACAACAACAAAAATACCTACACAAAGGTAAAAGTCAATTTCACAAGAGATAATCAGTCATGATTAATGGCTCCTAATTCCTCTGAGGATGGCACATTATTTTACTTTTGGTAGCAGCAGTATGGTCTGGAAAGCAAATGATTAACTACTACTAAATTCTACTACAAAGAAATACCACTGTAGGTTGTTGAAAATATTTTCCAGTGTGTTACCAAATTTAAAATGAAAGCTATGGGAAGATGTCCACTTCCATATAACATGTGTAATGTCTGGAAAAAGCTGACCATACGGTATACTAACAATGCAGGCAGAGAATGTATAGTCAATATAGGTTTCGCTAGAATAGACCAGGTAACAGAAGTGAGCAAAACAAAGGAGAACTGGTAGAAAGGAACCACCATCCCCCTTCCTCATAAGCACTTTTTATCCAAAGCACTTAATAATGAATTAGCTCTCTGCATATTTTTGGCTTGAGTGACTTGCCCAAAGTCACCGAAGGCGGTGGCAGAGCCAGGCACAGAATCTAGGTCTGTTTCTTTGGTCAATATATATGTCTTCTCTTACACTAAAAGAAAATTCAAAACAAAAGCCAGGCGCTGTGTGCACTGCAGCTGACTATGAAATTCTTAGAATGGTAAACCAAAATCCTCATCAAAAGACATAAATAGTATAAACTCTCTTACTTGTTTTAGCACCTGAAGTACCAAAGGCACTTGATGAGGGTAAAGCAACCCCTGAGACATTAACGATAAACATAACTTTGCATCTCTTTTCAGTTCATCGTAGCTATTGTCATTTTCCACTGGGGCAATCTAAAAAACAATGTAAAAAGGACAAAAAGGGAAAAATAATTGCCAGTAAGTACAAAGGCATCCTACAAGAGAGATAATACATCTTTACTTTAAACAATTTTTATGGAAAAGTTCAAATATATAGAGAATAGTAAAATGAACCCCCAGGAGCCAATCACCTCTTCAATAATGACAAACTCATAATCTTTTGTTTCATTTTTTGCTCCCCTGTGACTCCCATTCCCCAATGAAATTATTTGAAGCAAATCCCTATTTTATCCTAAATATTTTATTATATTATTTCTAAAAGGTCTCTTAAAAAAGAATCATGTAATGGACATCATCACACATAAAACTTCATTACAGTTATAATATAAAATATGTAGCAGTACTCAGATTTCCCCAATTACCGCATTCATGTGTTATTACAACTGGGTTTCTGAAATCAGGTTTAAGATAATGACCATATATTGTACTTACTTCGTATGTTTCATAAATCTCTTTCAACGCATATATTCCCCCTACTATCTTAAAATCCCTTGCTCTGTATTTTTTTCCTTGAGAAAAAAGGCTGTGTCTGTTGTTTTGTAGTTTCCCCCACTGTGGCCTTCCCTGACTGCATCCCTGCAGTGGTATTCCTTGGCCCCAGTAAGTCTTATAAATTGGCTATTAGATGTAAAGGTCTGACTTTATTGAAGTTTACTTGGGCACAACATAAGTGGTGCTATGTACTTCTTTCATTGATACTTAGTTTTGTCTTTCTGTGATAATCCATTACAAAAAGAGAGATTTGCGAAATGGTCATTCCTTCTTCATTATTAGCTAGAATACTTATATATATATAAAAGTTTTCCCTCATTCCAAATAATGATTTCCTGTCTGTCCTCCAAAAGTAAATAACAACTTTTAAAAGATTATCATTATGAATTCCAACAAATCTGATGGCTGTAGCCGCTGTCATTCTTTTTTTTTTTTTGAGACAGGGTCTTGCACTGTAGCCCAGGCTGATGTGTAGCGGCACAATCGTGGCTCACTGTAGCCTCAACTTCCTGGGGTCGGTGATCCTCCCACCTCAGCCACCTGGGTAGCTGGGACCACAGGTATGCACCACCGTGTCCAGCTAATTTTTTTTTTTTTTGTAGAGACAGACTCTCACTGTGTTGCCCAGTGTGGTCTCAAACTCCTGGGCTTGAGTAATCTTCCTGCATTGGCCTCCCGAAGTGCTGAGATTACAGGCATGAGCCACTGTACCCAGCACCCGTATTTGTTTTCATGAAGAAATCAGGTTTGTCTGGTACCGTACTTTGATTATGAATGTATGCTGTTTAATGCCTTAAATTCATTTTAAATATTTTTAAAATACACCCTTGCACATTCAGTAGGGGAAAGTTTTAATAAAGTTTGCTAAGGGACTCTGGGGTGCTAAGTTGGAGGGATCTCATGAGGCCAGCATGGATAACAGAGCAAGATCCTGTCTCTACAAAAAAAAAAAAGTAGCTAGGCTTGATGGCACATGCCTGTAGTCCTTGGGAGGCTGAAGTGGGAAGACTGCTTGAGCCCAGGAGTTCAAGGTTACAGTGAGCTATTATCACACCACTGCACTCCAGCCTGGGTGACAGAGTGATACCCTGTCTCTTAAAAACAATAACGTTTGCTAAGGGAAATTATTTCTACCAAACACTGGACAAACTATCATAGTGAATTAATACACTCAGCTTTAAACTGTTGTTAAAAAAAATTATTCTGACATTTGTTAAAATCGTAAGGAAAACTTTATTCAGAGACATCAGGGGTAGGGGGATTCCTCCTAAACCAACTTAAAAGGATTCCTGCAAAAGGCAGAATAGGGTGATCAGATACCAAGGGTGGGGGATTCTTTCTAAACTTAATTAGAGACAGTCTTGCTAAAACTGGACCAAAGACAGACAGGCCAAAGACAGAGCCCAAGGATGAGATCTAGTCAGAAGGAGGGCTCACTCAGAGGAGCTGACTTAAGTTTGGTCAAGGAGAGTCTTTGTCATAACGAAGGCATGATTCAGTTCTTTTTTGTTATGGGTATTCAAAGACATTTCATAATGCTGAGTTTTAAATATTTTACCTCAGTTAAATAAAATCCTTGGTATTTTAGAATAAAAATTATTTCTTTTTGCAAATTAAAAACATACTGAGTTATATGTTTTCACCTGTCCTACTGGGAAAAATCGGGATGTTTAATATCATACTGTAAAAGTGAGTCTCTGAGGAAATAACCAATAAAGAAGGGTGTGGAGCAGCGTCTAGCAAAAGCACATATTCATTTACTTTCTACTGGCAATGTATGTCTACCCTCCTATCTCAAAGATACACTGGCAAACATATGAAATGACTACACAAAGATCTACATTGTAGCACTATTTCAAAACACAACACTGGAAATAATTCAAATATCTATTGGATATGGAGAGTGTCTGGTTAAATAAACTGTAGTACATCCTTGTAGTTTAGATATCCTATCATATGAATCATTCCTATTGTTATAAAGTAATCCCTTACAAATCTCTTCAGAAAAGGCCGGGCGCGGTGGCTCAAGCCTGTAATCCCAGCACTTTGGGAGGCCGAGACGGGCGGATCACGAGGTCAGGAGATCGAGACCATCCTGACGGTGAAACCCCGTCTCTACTAAAAAAATACAAAAAACTAGCCGGGCGAGGTGGCGGGTGTCTGTAGTCCCAGCTACTCGGGAAGCTAAGGCAGGAGAATGGCATGAACCCGGGAGGCGGAGCTTGCTGTGAGCCGAGATCCGGCCACTGCACTCCAGCCTGGGTGACAGAGCGAGACTCCGTCTCAAAAAAAAGAATTAAAAAAAAAAAAAAATCTCTTCAGAAAAAAAGCAAAAGCAAAATGAAATAAGCGAACCTCACTGTTTATCTGGCTAGCAGAGATATACTTAGAGCAGTGACTTTTAAAAACAGCGTAATATATGCTTTGTGGGATGTATAAAAATCAAATTTAGAGTAACTGTCAACAGGAACCAAGAGTTTTCACGAGAGGTAAAAGATATAAAAATGCAAGTGGTTAAATAAAATCTTAGTAATCCCAAATTTGAATTGAAAATGTCAGTACGAGCTATCTCTCTTTAGAAAATGTGCTGTGTCCACCAAATAAGCCCAGAAACACTAACCAACTGAGTAACAATGAATATCCCTTGAGCCCAGGAGATTGAAGCTGCAGTGAGCTATGATCGTGCCACTGCACTCCAGCCTGGGTGACAAAAAAAGGAAAAGGAAATAACACTGAACATTAAGTACTGAATATCAATTGGTGCGATGTCAGAACACATCATTTTTTAATCCCTGGCATGTGACCAAAATTACTTTATGAATTTAATTCAATCCCAGTAGGAATTGTGTTTATAAAGGTTTAAAAAAATTACAGAAGTATAAACTTGACAAGGAGATTCAAAACCCTGCCTTGGTGTGGGTGAGGAAGAATATGGTTGATGTAATTTAACCACATCTCCAAAATGGCAGGACATCCATAGAAAAGTAACTTAAGTTGGAAAATAAAAAATGAGCAGTATAAGGGTATTTCTTTTTTTTTTTTTTTTTTGAGACGGGGTCTCGCCTGTCGCCCAGGCTGCAGTGCAGTGGCGCAATCTCGGCTCACCGCAAGCTCTGCCTCCCGGGTTCACGCCATTCTCCTGCCTCAGCCTCCCTAGAAGCTGGGACTACAGGTGCCCGCCACCACGCCCGGCTAATTTTTTTTGTATTTTTAGTAGAGACAGGGTTTCACCATGTTCGCCAAGACGGTCTTGATCTCCTGACCTCGTGATCTGCCCACCTCGGCCTCCCAAAGTGCTGGGATTACAGGCATAAGTCACCGCGCCCGGCCAGGGTATTTCTTTAGAGACAAAGAGGTATGCAAAAGCTTGAAAGTGGTGAACATGGGCTGGGCAGAGTGGCTCATGAGGATCACTTGAAGCCAGGAGTTTGAGAGCAGCCTAGTTCCAGCTACACAAGACACTGAGGTGGGAGGATCACTTGAGCCCAGGAGGTTTGAGGCCATCCTGGACAACACAGTGAGTTATCATCTCTTAAAAAAAAAAAAAAAATGCAGATACATCTCTTTTGCCCAGCAATTTTACACCTAGGAAATATCCTACAAATATGCTCACATGTGCAAGATACTTAAGAACAGCCAGAGGTTCCATCAACAGAAAACTGGTTAAATTTTTAAATGATGGTACAATTTAGTCATAAAAAGAGGCAATTTTGTGTAATGATATGAAAAGATGGACATGATATACTGAGTTAAAAACCAAAATCACCTTGCAGAATTAAGTAATTGTTATTCATAAAACAATTTCACAAACACATTTGTAGGGTATAGCAGAGACACATTCATAGTCAAAGGTATAAAAGGACATACACCAGCAAAGTCAGGGTACAAATGGTAAATACTCAACAGTTCACATCTCTAGGCATTACAGGTGGAGTTCTTTTCCTGGTCATTTTATTCACACTCACACTAAATATGAGGTGATTTACAGTTTGGGTAGTTAACTGTGGTATAAAAAAGAAGATATTCATTTGCTGGCAAGGTCTATTATCACCAGAATTTAAGATGACTCACTCGTCTGTTGAATCAGCAGTCTCTCTTCCTATCATTATGGAAAAAATGTGTTTTTCTAATGAAATTAAGACAATATTCTCAAGTACAGCATGGGTGAAAATGTTCTACTAAAAAGAGTAAAATCCTAAAATCCAATAGATAAATTTCACCAGATAGATTATATACTAAACTATGTTAACCAGTAGAAAATGCAGTTCATTTAGTTAGCAAAGGAATCACCTTATATTTTTCTCCTGATTATTGAAAAAAAGTTTTTCTAAAGAAATACCATCAATGTGAGGTGACTGTATCCAATGTACCACAGTATCTGTACATTCTTCTCTAAGTTTCACATATGCAAAACTATAGTGGTGGATTTTGAGGAGCATTTTCTGAAGTTTGAAACTTAGGATAAAATACCTCTCCTCCCTCCTGACCACCACCATTTGAGCCCTTAATTGTTCCAAATTATTATTCAGTTAAAGATCAGTAAAATAATAATATAAGTATGTACTTTACCACTGTGCTTTCTGCTTTCCAGGTATGTCATTTCATCCTTCTAACAATTCTGTGAGGGATACTGATATTAAACTCCCACTCTTTATATAGGAGAGAAGTTCAGAAGCTTGTGCAAGGTCACAAAGAAAGCACCTGTCACAGGCAGAATTTTTTTTTTTTTTTTAAACTGTCACCCAGGCTAGAGTACAGTGGCCAGATCTCGTTCACTGCAGCCTCCACCTCCAGGGTTCAAGCAATTCTCCTGCATCAGCCTCCTGTGTAGCTGGGACTACAGGTGTCTGCCACCACGCCCGGCTAATTTTTGTATTTTTAGTAGAGATGGGGTTTCACCATGTTGTTCATGCTGGTCTCAAACTCCTGATCTCAAGTGATCTGCCCGCCTTGGCCTTCCAAAGTGCTGGGATTACAGGTGTGAGCCACTGTGCCCAACAACCTGTGCCCAACCTATAGGCAGGATTTTAAACTAGGACTCTATTTACCCGAAAGCCAGGACTTTGTAAGCTATTATTGGTTGGAAAACCTCTTTCTTTAATCTTAAGAATATGAAGACTCTTAGACCCGAATAGGCAAGTTTATATATAGATATATATAAATTTAACAAATATATATTTCAAGGTTTTTTATGGATATAAAACTGCTTTTTATGGGATAGGATAAATAAGATTTTTAACAGAACAGCCAATGTACCATATGTTTCTTACAACAATGTGTTAGCTGAAGTAGATCCAGCATTTTCACTTCTTGTGATTTATCCTATAAAAAATATGTGCAAAGTGCAAAAGATATATACAAGATGTTCACTGTATCATTAATGAGGAGGAACATGTCTACAGTGTTTACCATGTGCCTGATGCTGCTTTAAGCACTTAGCATATGAAAGCACCCCTTATTCTCTCAATTTAGGATGCAATATCTTTTAATCTAAACTCTTGCTATTTGCTAATGGCAACTCAGGAAATGGAAAATGTACCTAATTCCTTGTTATCAGACTCAGCCACCCACTCCTCAATTTGGATAATGAGGAACACGTATTAACTCACTTAATCCTTGTAACATCCTCAGGATGCGTGGTGTTATTACCCCCATTTTACTGATGAGAGGGATAAAGTTCGGAGGGGTTGAATTAGATGCCCATGATTACATAATGAGTTCATGGCCCATGGAGATGAATTTGATCCAGGCAGCCTGGCTCAAAACTTCATGCTATTAATGACTCCACTCACTGCCTCTTGTTGTCTACCTAGTGAACAACTGTGATAAAACCAAAAATCTACTACTAGCGAGCACACTGGATATTAAATTCTATAAGCCACATAAGGAATAATACAGATATCTACTTACTGACGTGGAAAGGTACATATATTGATTACGTTCATAAAAGGGAAGCTGTAGAGCTACTGGCATGACTCTACTGAAAAACAACTATGTAGGAAAGTAACATTTGAGGAAATATAAATAAAAAGAGAAATATATATAAATAGAAATAATATAAATAAAACTATGAACATTGGCTGTTATACACAATTAGTCTTGTCAATCTATCTTACAGATTTTTTATGAGTATGTGCTGCATTTATAAACTCACAATAATTTTAAGAAAAAAAGATGGCCGGTCGCGGTGGCTCAAGCCTGTAATCCCAGCACTTTGGGAGGCCGAGACGGGCGGATCACGAGGTCAGGAGATCGAGACCATCCTGGCTAATCCCGTGAAACCCCGTCTCTACTAAAAAATAACAAAAAAAAACTAGCCGGGCGATGTGGCGGACGCCTGTAGTCCCAGCTACTCGGGAGGCTGAGGCAGGAGAATGGCGTGAACCCGGGAGGCGGAGCTTGCAGTGAGCTGAGATCCGGCCACTGCACTCCAGCCTGGGCGACAGAGCAAGACTCCATCTCAAAAAAAAAAAAAAAAAAAAAAAAAAAAAGATACATATGAGAAAGGTTAATGGTAATGGTAGTTTATGAATATTTCCCTCCAACTTTCTAAGTTTTCTCTCAATAGGCATTTATTTCTTTCTAAAAGGAGAGAATTAAACTTACACTGTTACTGAAATTTTCCACAAACTTCAAAGTAATGAAACTCATTTTTATTAAATTAGGAATGGGAGACCGAGCACAGTGGCTCATATCTGTAATCCCAGCACTTTGGGAGGCTATTGTGGGAGGACCACTGGAGACCAACCTGGATAACATTAGACCCCAACTGTACAAAAATTTTTGAGAAAATTAGCCAGGCATGGTTGGTGTACACCTGTAGTCCCAGCTACTCGAGAGGCTGAGGCAGGAGGATTGCTTGAGCCCAGGAGATTGAGGCTGCAGTGAGCCATGACTGCACCACTGCAGGGAGACTGTCTCAAAAAAAAAAAAAAAGTGGCGGGCACCTATAGTCCCAGCTCCTCGGGAGGCTGAGGCAGGAGAATGGCGTGAACCCGGGAGGCGGAGCTTGCAGTGAGCTGAGATCCGGCCACTGCACTCCACCTGAGCGACAGAGCGAGACTCGGTCTCAAAAAAAAAAAAAAAGTGGCGGGCAGGGCAGGGGGCCCAGGTGATAAGCTGCCATCCGCTGGTCTCTCCTCTGAAATGCATGTTGTTGACCACCCACGATCAGGTAATTTGGGTTTTAAACTTTGGAGAGTTGATAATAATATAGTCCTTTAAATGGTTCTAATTTAGTTCATATAAGTAAGTTATGAGGAATATGCTAACTAAATCATCTCTATTTGTTGTGTTCTCATCACCCCTAACCTGTGAATGTTGGCTCAATTCTTACACTTTTTTTTTCCCATCTACACCCATTCCCTTGATGATCTCATTCAATTTCACGGTTTCAAATACCATCTATGGTGATGACATTCAAGTTTGTACCACCAGGCTGCACTGCTCCACTGAACTCTGAATGTGTACCCATTATCATCATTTATAAAAGCATCTTGACTTACAAGTCTTACAAGCATCTGAAATATGTTGGAAAGGGAATTTCTGACCTCCTCTTCAACTCCTTCTGTGCTCCTCTCATGGTTTAGTAAACAGGTTTCTTTTAAACACCTCTCTTTATCCTCACCCTCTACACATCTGATTTATGGGCAAAATAACTATGATGTGATGCCTTTGTACCTCTGGCCCCATGCATCGTGATGGCCTAGGAGATTCTCAACCTCAATATTAGTATATCCAGGTGAAATGTTAGGCTTGTCAATGGTAACTTATATTGCACAGCTTTCTTTCTTTGTTTTTTCTGAGATGGAGTCTCGCTCTGTTGCCAGGCTGGAGTGCAGTGGCGCAATCTCAGCTTACTATATACTATAACCTCCACCTCCCGGGTTCAAGCGAGTCTCCTGCCTCAGCCTCCCAAGTAGCTGGGACTAGAGGTGTGTGCCGCCATACCCAGCTAATTTTTGTATTTTTAGTAGAAATGGGGTTTCACTATGTTGGCCAAGATGGTCTCGATCTCTTGACCTTGTGATCCGCCCACCTCGGCCTCCCAAAGTGCTAGGATTACAGGCGTGAGCCACTGCACACGGCCTCTATCATACAGCTTTCTAATGACCTAAGTTTTTCATAAACTTCAAGTGAATTCAAATCATTCTTCTACCAACTGCCCTCTTACATACTTGCCTATATTTGTTCTGAATGAAAGAAAAGGGATGGAACCCCAGCTATCCTAACAATCATTGCACATTATGAATTTATGAATGTTCTATATCTGCTTGGTATGTGACAGAGGAAAAACATTTAAGTACTAGGTAGACTAATCCTATGTACACCAAAGACCTACAGGTAAGGAGGACTTATACAACAGCAGCTACTGTCTACTTTTATACCCCAAAAGATCCCAGGGATATTCCTGGGTATCATCGTCTGCATAGCATTCTTAAAATATTTTAGTAGTTCAATCTTTGAAAGTTACTGGTACAGTTATCTGTTTGAAATTTCCTAAAGACAAAGTATACTATAGCAAATCAAAAGTTTAGCATGCCATTTGTTAATCAACAATAATAAGGGCTCTCCTCCTTGGATAATAATAACTGTACTGATGAATAATGTCAAAAAGTGGTGATGTTTAAGCCAAGCCTTTCAAATGTATAATTAACACTGTTTTCCTAACCACAGTCAACCATATCATTATTGCAAACTATGATTTTGGAAACTAATGAGTCAACCTGTGACCTTAGTTCTACTAGCTGCATCCCCTGAGTAGATGATAAGATAAAACCACTCAAACCATGCCTTTCATTAACAAAATGTCATTATATGATACCAGAGGCAAATGATTTCCTGCAGATATTTGTTAAAAACAGTTATAGGGCCCTTTAACATTGTAAAATAAACACAACATACTGAACACTTTCGTTTGTAGATTATATTAGTAAAGAAGTCAGAAATGGCTATATTAAAACATTTCTTTGTAGCTTTTCTTTTAACTATTAATAGTCCCTCTAATCTATTATTACTGAGAAATTAGCTATCAGGTAAAACAATATGCTGTTAAAATTTCATGTAGCTGTCAAAATCTTGCTATCACCTAATATTAAAAACACGATTTCAACAAATATTAAACCACTATCACCTAATGATTTTTCTGTGACCATTTTACTTTTTAGAGTTCCAGTCAAAATTCACACACTGTCTGAAGAAAGGAGATCATTCTTAATTTAGCAAAACCTTACCTTAAAAAACAAAGGTAGAAGCTGAAGTTGTTCTGTGACTGCTGTAGAAAAGGATCTTCCTGCACTTGCCATCAGCCATTTCAATACTATTTTGAAAACAAAGATGCAGAGTAAGTCTTTGCTATTCATTTACAGACCACAAAGTAGAACAATACTATAATGTTAGTGTCAGACAGCCACTCCAATCGCTCTTCAATGTTACGAAAGAGATCATCTATGTTACTTCATAAATTAGACACTTACTGAGAAGCAGTATAACAGCACCCAAAATAAAATTTAAAACTTTTATGCATAAAAAGATACTATCCAGAGAGTAGAAAGACAACCCACAGGAGAAAATATTTCTAAATTGTGTATCTGATAAGGCATTGATATTAGAATAAAGAAAGAACTAAAGCTCAAAAACAACAAAATAATCTAATTCAGAAATGGGCTGGGTAAAGTGGCTGGCTCATGCCTGTAATTCCAGCACTTCTGGAGGCCAAGGCAAGAGGATCCCTTGAGCTCAGGAGTTCAAGACCAGTCTGAGCAACATACGGAGACCCCTGTCTCTAGAAAATATTTAAAAATTAGCTGAGTGTGGTGGTGGTGCACACCTGTAGTCCCAGCTACTCAGGAGGCTGAGGTGGGAGGATCTCTTGAGTCCTGGAGGTTGAGGCTGCAGTGAGCAGCCTGGACGACAAAGTGAAAGGTAGCAGAGGGGTGGGTAATGAATGACATGAGTAAATATTTCTCCAAACAAGAAATACAAATGGCTTATAAAGATTCTTGAAATATCAGTAATCATTAGGGAAATGCAAACCAAAATACCTCTTCGTACCCACTAAGATGGCTGTACTTTAAAAAAGTATACCACAAGATACTTCTTCATACCCACTAAGATGGCTATACTTTAAAAAAGCAAGCAAACAGAAAACAAGTGGTGAGAACACGGAACGCTTGTGCATTTGCTGACTGGAATGTAAAATGGTGCAGCTGCTGTGGAGAAGAGTCTGGCAGCTCTTCAAAAACTTAAGCACAGGAATACTACATGGTCTCACAATTCCACTTCTAGTACATACCCTGAAGAACTGCAAGCAAGCACTCAAACAGGTACTTACACAAACATCAATGTTCAGAGCAGCATTGGTCACAATAGCCAAAGGTGGAAACAACCCAAATACCCAGCAAACAGACGAATGACACAACATGAATCAGAAATTCATTCATTCAACTTGAAAATACAATGTAACATGAAATAAGCCAGACACAAAAAAGACTTGTGATTCAACTTATATGACCTACCTAGAGTGGGCAAATTCAGAGATGGAAAGTAGACAGTGGTTACAAAGGATGTGGGGAGGGAAAATGAGGAGCTGTTGTTAAAGGGTACAGAGCTTCAGTTTCGTATGGTGAAGAGAATTCCAGAGATAAATGGTGGTGATGGTTGCACAAGGGTGTGAATGTACTTAATGCCACTGAACTGCACACTTAAAAATGGTTAAAACAGTAAATTTTTCATTATGTCTATTTTACCACAATAAAAAAAGAGGTGGGAAAAAACTCCACAGGATAATCGAATAAATGTTTTCAAATGAGTTTCTACTAATTTTATCCACTCACTGGTTTTCAAGAGTTTAATGCCCTGAGTTCGTTCATCTTCTTCACCAATTCCATTTTCTTCCATAACATGGTTCTGAATTTCTTCATCCACATCCATGAGAGGTTTCAATTTCTCCAGAATTCGAGCAGTAAACTCAGGGACATGAGGCGATGTGGTTGGTGCGGTATTTGGCAAAGAAACATCAATCATGAATATGTAGGTCAGCACGCTGCAAAATAAAATACTTCATATAGGAAGAGGTACCACATTACCAATAAAAATGAGGTTCAAAAGTTATGACCCAATCAAAGCAAACTGTCCCAAGACAATTCCTGGAGTGGGTCTTAGATTATGCCTGTGTGTAAAAGAAGCCTTATAATTAAGAGGTATTGAAACTTAAGTGTTGTGACTGCTCATCTTTGGCTTCTGAGGACGCTGCTGTCCTAGTTTACATTCAGTGTTGCATCTTGGTTCCCACGACACAATAGCAAACAATTTGAGAAAGACACCATGAAACCCACTGACAACATAACCAGCATGTATTATTAGCTATTACAATTTAAAAAACAAAGCACTCGAGAGGTATACCACAGAGAAAACGGTACCTACCTTCCTATTCTTTCTCTGACATTTTTGTAAACCTGGGTGAGTTTAGGCTCCAAATACTTCAGTAGTCTGTGCAATAGTTCAGGCACTCTCCACTCTTGCTGGGCAAGGCCACCTTGTAGTACATAAAGTCGACTAAAATTAAAGCATCGTAGTGTTATTTTGGAGGCCCTTTCTGCCTTTACATATTGACAGTATGGACAGACAATGTCTGTATTTCACTTAAAACTTTTTCATTTTCTCACCTAATAAATACTACAATATCCACAATTCAAAATAGCCTGTTTATGAAGATTTTATTTTTCCTTCTGTATTTGCATTTCATCTCCACTACTAGACAACTGAAAGAAATACTGACTTCCGAATACTCACCAAGTAATATTTAAACATCAGATCTCAAGTTTTCTCATTAAGTACTTCTTCTTTTGAATGAAATTATCCATATTTCTATTGTCTAACTTTCTACAGCACCATATGCCCCAACCAAGGCAGTTTTTCCTTAAAATGATTACTCTCTCTTTGTATCTTTTTAACATAAGATGTGATGAAGACACAAAAGTACAAAAGACAATTCCAATAAAAGATCTGACAGCAAAGAATGCTGACTCTAATTTGCGTTTAAATTGCTCAGGTTGCCTACATCTCACTTACTTATCCAACTAATAAATAACTCTTATTAAGTATCACATGTTGTATGGAACCAGATCACAACACCTTCCAGAAGAAAGTAATTACTTCATCTAGACTTTACAAGTATAGACCATTTATAAACACCTCATAGGTTTTTAAAAAAATTTACCATGCATCTACAAAGGATCCTCCTTCACCACTCAATGGTGATTCCAACAGCAGTTCAAAAAGCCAGTGAAGTTTCCGGGGATCTCTGCTTTCCTGTGTTTAAAATATGATGTAACAGTTAACAGGGGACCTACAATTCTATAAATAAATCATATTCAGTTATTTTATTTAATTTTGTTTTTGAGGCTAGGTCTAACTCTTGCCCAGGCTGGAGTGAAGTGGTGTGATTACCTCCCAGGCTTCAAGTAATCCACCCGCCTCCGCCTCTAAAGTAGCTGGGACCACAGGCATGTGCCACTATGCTTCGCAATTTTTTATTTTTTGTAGAGACAGAGTCTCCCTATGTTGCCCAGGCTGGTCTCCAACTCCAGGCCCCAAGCAATCTTCCTGACTCGGCTTCCCAAAGTTCTGCGATTAAAGGTGAGGGCCAGTGCACCCAATCATATTCAATTATTTTAGAAATACTAAAAACATATATAAGTACAGTCACCCCTTGGTATCTGTGGCAGATTGGTTCCAGAACTCCCTTAGGATACCAAAATCCACAGATGCTCAAGTCTCTTATGAAAATGGTGTAGAATTTACATATAACCTACGCACATCCTCCTGTACACTTTACATCTTCTCTAGAGTATTTGTAATACCTAATACAATGTAAATGCTATGTAAATAGTGGTTATACTGTATTGTTTAGGGAATAATGACAAGAAAAAAAAATCTGAACAGGTTCACTATAGACACAATCATCCCCCACCCTTCCAAAATATTCTCCATCTCCTCAGGTTGGCTGAAACGACAGATGTGGAACTTATGGATATGGAGGGCTGACTGTATAGAAGAAGAAAATCAAACTAAAACTGACAGATGACTCAGATTCAAATGTGACAATCATAGTTCAAGTTAACAGTGAGAAAACTGTTGTTAGCTAAATGGATTATCTTAAATCAAAGTACACAAGCTATGGACATATCCGGTATAAAAAATAATACCTTAACTTTGTATTATGTGGCTTTTACTATATGTAAGTGACATTTCCAAATACATGATTGTCACTTAATTTTAAAATGCATTACCACAGCAGAAAAGATAAAATAATCACTTAAGAGTTACCTCTCAAGACTTATTTGAAAGGCTAAATAGAGCCATCTCCAATTATGTAAGATGACAAAAGTATGAACAAACTTTCAAGATTCAAGAAGTGAGTTACTTCACTTAGAATAATAGTCTCGAATCCCATGGAAATAAAAAACAGAGACAGTATCAAACAGTTTGAATACACGAGTTAGACAAAGAAAGATGTAGGATAACTTACACAAGATGTTGCTATACAAGCTCCCCAGTCATTATAAGTTTCTACGGTAATGTTGGACAGTGCTGTTCTAAGCAGAGGGCACAGAAGCTCCCACAGTTTCTCCACCTACTCAAAACAAAATATATGGGTAAGAGTTAATGACACACTGAACATTTTTCTCCAAATATCTTTCTTTACCTGGAAATGTACGCACATATAAATACATCATTTAAATTATTTTTGAGACATAGTCTCATGCTATTGCCCAGGCTGGAGTGCAGTGGCACGATCATACCTCGATGCAGCCTTAAGCTTGTGAGCTCAAGTGATCCACTCACTTCAGCCTTCCAAGGAGGGTGGACTATAGGTGTGTGTCACTATGCCCGGCAATTTTTTTTTTTTTACTTTTTGTAAAAACAGGATCTTGCTATGTTGCCCCAGCTGGTCTTGAACTCCTAGCCTCAAGCAATCCTGTCACCCTGACCTCCCAAAGTGCTGGAATTATAGGCATGAGCTAGTATGCCTGGCCCCAATTATTTTTTAGAGCACCCAATTAATTCACAAAAGTACCTCACTACATTGTCATCATACATATCCAGATATAGGTGAAATGTTTCCCAAAAGATATTCAGAAAAGAGTAAATACTTTGTGTGGCTCTTTAAAAAAAATCTCTTGGCTGAGTGCAGTGCGTCACGCCTGTAATCCCAGAACTTTGGGAGGCCAAGGCAGGGGGATCACTTGAGATCAGGAGTTTAAGACCAGCCTGGCCACAGGGCAAAACCACGCCTCCACTAAAAATACAAAAATTAGCTGAGCGTGGTGGCACATGTCTGTAATCCCAACTACTCGGGAGGCTGAGGCAGGAGAATCGCTTGAACCTGGGAGGCAGAGGTTGCAGTGAGCCGAGATCATCCCACCGCACTCCAGCCTAAGCAACAGAGCGAGACTCCGTCTCAAAAAACAAAACAAAACAAATCTCTCATATGACTGATAAGTGTTCTTAAAAATCTCGTATAATAGTACACTAGGCTGAAACAAAACCTCAATCAAATTTTCCACATTTCTCAAGATCATTTGATTAAATCTTAGAGGCAATGAATGACATTTTAATTTAATTTAGTAATTAGTCTGAGATATAATCTTCAAATTCCAAGTCTTGGATAAACAGTCCTTAAAAACACATACAGTTGTACAGAGACTGCATTTATGCACATATATTTTCTCAAAGGTTAATGAGCATACAAATCACCTTGAGGTCTTAAAATGCAGACTGATTCATCTTAAGTGGGCCTGACATCTTACTTTCCTAAAAAGCTCCCAAGTGCGACCTCTGCTGTAGGTCCATGGACTGTACTTTAGTTAAAAAGGACATACCTTGATTTCATCATTACACACTGTGTGCATGTATCAAAATATCACATGTACCCCATAAACATGAACAGCTACTATTATCAATTTTTTAAGTTCCTAAAAAAAAAATCTGAAATTTGTTTTAAAAAAAAGAATGAATGAAGGCCAGGCACAGTAGCTCACACCTGTAATCCCAGCACTTTGGGAGGCCAAGGTAGGCAGAGTTCAAGAGCCAGGAGTTCGAGACCAGCCTGGCTAATGTGGAGAAACCCCGCCTCTATTAAAAACACAAAAATTAGCCTGACATGGTGGCACATGCCTGTAATCCCAGCTACTGAGGTGGCTGAGGCATTGCTTGAACCCAGGGGACAGAGGTTGCACAGAGCCATGATCACACCACTGTACTCCAGCCTGGGCGACAGAGTAAGACTGTCCAAAAAAAAAGAAAGAGAAGAAACGCAGACAAGAAAGATGGAAGGAAGGAAGGAAGGAAGGCAGACAAGGAGGAAGGAAGGCAGGCAGACAAGGAGGGAGGGAGGGAGGGAGGGAGGCAGGAAGGAAGGGAGGGAGGGAGGGAGGGAGGGAGGGAGGGAGGCAGGAAGGAATTCTTCAATCAGCAGGAAGGGTTTGAGACAAAATTTTCAGTGGCAGCACTGTTTTGATTTTACCAAAAAAAGCTTTATCTCAAAGAACATATAGGGAAAGGAATTATGTTTTACAAAACAGGTAACTCAAGAGTGGCTTTAGTAACGTAACAGATGACAAGACCACATGTAACATTTTAAAATAAAATTGTTTCTCGTAAGCAAAAGTGTTTGCAGTCCTCCTAAAAGTTGACCAAAAAACCCTATTTGTGTCTTCTCTTCGACAAAATAATGGTCTACCTTATGTTCAGGTAGTCCTGACATTTGACCAGGTTATTTTTAGTCTGGTGCATTTTGCTAACAAACTAACCTTAAAGACAGGTGTATGAAAACTAAATCTTACAATTAAAAAGAGGGATACTCTAAAAGGGAGAGTCAAACTCCAACTGTCTAGAAGACTAGGCAACTAATATAAATGATAAGGAGGCTAAGAGAAAAGACTTAATGAGAAGCTGGAATGGCTTAATGAAGGGAGAAGCGCACATGCACCATCAGCAGAGTGACACAGTGCAATAATGTAGGACCAGTGTTTCAGGATCTTCCTCTTTTTCAAGAAACTGGAATTCTTTTTTTTTTTTTTTGGATTTTTTCCACCAATGTGGGTAAATATTTCAAAAATTTAAAGATAGTAAATGTTCTTAGAGACCATTAGGCTGTAATCTGTAATCAAAAGCAATGTCTACATATCGGCATATTTCCTATCACTGAACATTTCATATTTTAATTATCAGCATCTAATGTGTTGGGAATTGCCACCAAAATGGGTAACATAGCTTTAACAGGAAATGTTCTGTACAACTATTAATACATCACCTTTTCAAATGTCCAATGCTTAGAACCTCTGATTAAACCAGCTATAATTTCTGCAACACATCGCTGGGTGCTTTCATGTGAATCTGCAACCAAACGTTCTAAATGCGGCTTCAGAACTGGCAGGAAGGCATCATCAAAATTCCTGAATATACCCTATAAAAACAAAGACAGTTCTTCAGTACTCAAATGGCTATCATCTCAATTATAATTATGCTTGTAATTATTCTGTACATTACTAATGTGCTTAAAAACTCCAAGCGCACTCCCCTTTAGAACTGCTTTAACAATTCCGATAAGTTAAAATAGTAAGAATATTGTCATTTTAAACATCACATTAAAATGTAACCAATGAAACAAATATTAATAATCTTTCTAAGTATCACACCTCAAAAAAAGCAACTAAACATAAAAAACACATATAGTTTTGGGTATTTTTTTCTTTCTAGTGCCAATTACAACAAACATTAAAGATAAATACAGTCATCCCTTGGTGTGCATGGGGAACTGGTTTCAAGATCCCCACTCCAGAATACCAAAATGTTCAAGTCCTTTACATAAAATGGTAATACATCCTCCTGTATATTTTAAATCATCTTAAGAGTACTTATAAGATCTAATACAATGTTTACCAATTGTATTATATATTAATGCTACATAAATACTCGTTATAATGTCTTGTTTAGGGAATAATGACAACAACAAAAGTCTATACATGTTCAGTGTAAATTCCAGTGCCATTTTAGATGAAAGCAGATGGCTAGCCTTGATCAAATATTTATAAGTTATGAACCTACAAACTGAATAGTTACTAAGCATTACAAAGAGGATATGTAAATAATATAGTTACCTTAAAGAGACAAAAACGTCGTGGATTAAACTTATCTTTTCCTTTTCTGTCTTCTAATGATAGAAAAGTAATTAACTGTTCAACAAATTTAGGATCAGAAAAATGATCAAATATAATCTGTTCTGCCTATAAAGTTAAAAAAAAAAAAACAATATTCAGGGTTTAAAATCTACTTAAATACATGATTCTGAAAAAGTTAAAATTACAAGATTTTGATAGTCAAAAGCAGGCTGTATTTTTGTTTCAATGAATTTTTAGTTCTCATAGATAACAATGATTTCTAAAACCAACTATCTCCCTTCTAAAAATGCTAAAACAGTAAGAATAAGTTTTCCTTCAGATTCTCAAGTTTGAATCCTATTTCTCACACTGTGAATTAAAAATCAACAAATGTTCTGCTTGGTAAATGAAAACTGAAAGCAACTGTGACATCTGGTGTGCAATTTGTTAAAATCCCCAAAACTATAAATCAAGCCCCAACAAATCACTTTCATATTTATAAAACACCAGAAGTTAAAAGGTAAACCAACCGTTCAGAACCAGAAAAAGTTACAACACCATTAACTTGAGGAATACATAAACTTAAAAACCCTTGTCAACTTTCTTTTTTCTTTTCTTTTTTTGGGACAGGGTCTCACTCTGTCACTCAGGCTGGAGTGCAGTGGTGTGATCATGGCTCATTGCAGGTAATCAGGTAATTTTCCCACCTTAGCCTTCCAAGTAGCTGGGACTAGAGGTGTGCACCACTACGCCCAGCTAATTTTGTATTTTTTGTAGAGACAGGGTTTCGCCATGTTGCTCAGGATGGTCTCAAACTCCTGGGCTCAAGTGATCCATCTGCCTCAGACTTCCAAAGTGTTGGGATTACAGGCATGTGCCATGGCTCCCAGCCAAGTCAACTTTCAAAATGAAGTAAATTAAATGAAGTTTAAGTCAAGTTTTAACTGAAATCTACCAGTATGTGTTTACGGAGTACCCATAATTTATATGCAATAGAAAACTAAAAATCAGTCATTAACTTTTCCTTTAAAACACTTGTAACAGAACTGATACAAGAAATGAGCAGCAAACTACATAAAGCAGTAGCCAAGGGAGTGCTGAATGGGGTAGTAACTCAGTCTTAGATACATCAAGATCTATGTCAACTGGCACTGGTATAAAGGGGTTGGGGAGAATGGATTACATAGTCACCAATATTTATGCAGCGCTATACTGAAAAACACAACTTGTATTAAGAAAAAAAAAGAAAAAGAAGAACTGAAGTGAGGTTGAGATAAATCAGTGGCCCAAAATAAGATGCATTTGAACCATGGTGAAATGGAATGCTTACCTCTGTCATATCCTCCCTGCTTCTGCCAAGCTTAGGCTGCTCTTCCACACCAGCATAAACAACCATATTCCTATATAGTAAGAGTTCATATTTATCATACGCATAGAAAAAAATATTAGAGCTTCATGGATAGAAAGCATTAGAAGGCATTTTTAATGAACTCTAACTAGATGCTAAGTTTGGGGAGATGAGTACAGCAGTAACAGTCTAGGCCTTAAAAATCTATCAGATCACTGTGTCCTAATGACAAATGGAGTTAATAAGGAGAGAAAAGTATGTATTTCTCTGGGCTGGTTTAGGCATGTGTATTATTAATAGGTAGGAATATAATTTAGAGCAGCTATTAATAACCTCCTTAGCCATATAACCATGGGATTCAGAAAGGCTAAGGGTTTTCATACAAGGAAAGAGGCAGGAATGAGGCGTAGCATTGGCAGGAGCAAAAGAAAGAGAGGACTAGGGAAGGGGAAAGATAAAAGAACCTTCAAGTGCCTCTGAACCTCCCCAGAAACTGAAATATGATAAAACAGTTATATCAAAGGCATTTAATGATAAGATACACAGTAAGTTACTTACTTTGGCCAGGTGTAGTATCCCCAGTGAGTTTTTTCCACAAAGCAACTTGAGTCCCATTCTTTTTTAGTTCTTGGTAAAGTTTTGCTATCATAATGCAACCAATGATTATCAGGTCTATCACCGGCAATAATTTGGGTGGGTTTAGGATATCCACCTAAGAAAAAGACAATCACATTTGATGAATTTAAAAACATTCACCCAACAGTTATTCTCAAATTTCAATCAACAGTACCAGTGTAACTTTGTCTTCACAATACAACACTATTAAAATTCTCTCAAGACAAGGTAACATATGTATGAGCAATTGGGGGCACATTTCAAAACAGAGAAGATGGGATTATCTACTAAATTTTGTTGAATCAGTTATTTTGGGGGAAAAGATCAAGGATGAAACTTACTTCATTCCTTTTACCAAAATTAAATGGATTAATTTTGTTTAAACTATTTAGATTTGAAATAATAATTCCAGACTTACAGAGCTCAAAGAATTCCCACATAACTTTCACTGAGACACCCAAATTTTAACATTTTGATATTCTCTCTCTCTCCACACATACTTATCAAAACTATGAGTATCAACTGTAGACATCATCTCAAATAATCAAAATACAATTCTCAAAGTTTACATTAATACAGTAAAATTATTTCATCAACAGACTTTACTCAAATTTGGACGGCTGTCCCACTGAATGTACTTTACATTTAAAAAAATTTTTAAACATTTTCTTCTGGACTATAATCCAATCCAGGATTAAACATTGCATTAAAGGAAACTAAAGATACCATACAATTGAAATGCAATGTTTTAATCCTGGATTGGAGACCAGAAAAAAATGGTTTTTTCTTCTGAAAAATTCTGGTAATACAATAAGGTATGAGGAAGAAAATTCACCTTGTCCCTATAATCCCACCACCCAAAGAGAAACATTTAACAAATTAATAACAGCAATTTAAGTCTTTGAAATACAGTTGATGAAATAATTAGTATAATTGCTTAGTGGGTGACATAAATAATATGAAGGCAGAAAGAATCAATCTATTTTTGTAGATAGTTATCACTGGCTTTTACTAAGTCAACTGTTTCCTTCATAATGTTATTTCATATTTTGTGTTAATATCCATAGAACAATATTTGAGGTCAAGAACTAAAATGTATACATGTCAAGAAAATTTTCTGAGTTTTATTGGAAAGTACTATTAATTACTTCTGGTAGTACTCACTGATTTCACATGGGTTAATGGTCAGCTTTTTGTGGGTTCTTTTTAGCTGTTTAAGGATACCAGCAACAGCTGAGATAGCCATCTAGAAAAGAAAAAAGGCACAATTATAAAAAAAATTTAAATCACTTAACTGGTTGCTTGCTCTACTCAAAGGAGAAATCGATTCTGTTTCTTTAAAAAAACACCTCACCTATTGACATCTGGCAGTACAGCCATATGAGTGCTAAATCTGACTTAGAATAAATCACAGGCAGTTCTTACACTACAGTCTTGACCCATGCTAGTCTCTCCTCCTAGAAAACTTTGACCCTTTCTTTGTTAAACCAATACCTGCTCATTCTTCAAATCTTAGCCTCCAGGTATTTTTTTTTTTTTTTTTTTAGACAGAGTTTTCACTCTTGTTGCCCAGGCTGGAGTGCAATGGCACAATCTCAGCTCACCACAACCTCCCCATCCCGGGTTCAAGCGGTTCTCCTGCCTCAGCCTCCCAAGTAGCTGGGATTACAAGCATGCGCCACCACGTCCAGCAAATTTTGTACTTCTGGTAGAAACAGGGTTTCTCCATGTTGGTCAGGCTGGTCTGGAACTCCCAACCTCATGTGATCTACCTGCCTCAGTCTCCCAAAGTGCTGGGATTACAGGCGTGAGCCACCAAGCCTGGCCCAGCCTCAGGGTATTTTTAAAGGTCGTTCTCCAATGCTTCAGCTTAGGCCATCTCCCAATCCCTCACCTCACCTCTGACACTTGGAGAGTACAAAACTGTACCCTCAGGTTTCTTACCCCTCCTGAAACACTGCACATCTAATTTTCTAATTTTTCAATCTTTCCCATTAGCCTATAAACTTATTTCCTGCTATATTCCCAGTGTTTAAACACACAGTGCCTAAGCATGTCCTTATATATTTGTTAGATGAATCATTATCATCTCTGAACCAACGGGGTAGATTTCAAATCAATATACTTCAAGATATTTATTAACCAAGTGTGTATTGTTTGTGAAGAATTTAAAGACTTCAGGTCACGTACATAGTCTCAAACCCAAGACTGTAGCTAAAACAAGGTATGTACCTTTCGAACTACAATTGCATCATGGTTGAGATTCTCAACAAAAAACCGTATGGCACGAAGAGGCAACACTCGGTCATCTCTCAGCAGTAGAGACAGAAGCCCAATGCCTATATGTTCAAATTTCCAGGGCCTTAAAAGGAGGAAAAATGACAAAGCATACCACACATAAAACCACTTGAAAAAAAAAAAGAAAGTATGTGAAACACCTTATAATTTTAAGTTTCTCAAGAATTAAAATAGGTCTACTGAAGAACGCTGCTTCTATCATTAATCCCAAACTTTCCCTCCATCTCTTTTCCTCTTAATCTGCTTACAAATATACAAATCAGAACACAACTTTTTGTGACATAGTCATTCATAGCCTTCCTTGTAGAAAACTCCTATAGTATTTAAGATAAATGCTGTGAGAATTACAAAAATCTTTTGTACTTACAGGTTTCTTTGCTCCACACCATCTAGCAAGGTGTCTACCAAATTTTCATAGTTCCTTTAAAAAAAAAAAAAAAATCAGGTGAGGTATTACTTTACTATAATACTAAAATGAACATCAAAAAATATAATAGAAATGCAAATTCTAGCCAAATTCACCCTCCTTCCCCACTTACTTCTCACCACCTGACTGTAAAGGGCCTGGTGAGAAGCAAGCCAGAATGAAAGCAGACAGGTGAACAGAGATGCTGGGAAAACCTCATGAAAGGCTAGGGAGAGTGAACTCAACTTTTCCTGAGTGGACATGCACAAGTAACTCTGTAAGTAGTAATCAATTAATTGGGAGTGGTACACACACACACACACACACACACACACACACGATACAGCCTATGAAATATATTACATAGGCTGTAAGAATTTATTATTTATACACATTTTAGAAAACAACAAAGAGGCATATTCATATACTAATTATAAGGCAAAGACAAAATCAAATTAGGAAGACTCTTGCTTGAGTGTCATCACTGAAGGATTTAAGTGCTTTGGTACCAAGAATCCAAAAACAGTTTATTAAAATCCTGATACCAAATTTGACCAAAAAGTCATTATTATTATTATATGAACTATAAAGTGATACATCTGCTAAACTTGAATTTAGGAATTAATGACTGATATGTACCAGTTACGTAGTTTCTGAAATATTACTACCTTAAAAAAGAAAGAAAGAAAGAAAGATAATTGACCAGAAAAAAAAAAGGTATGACAGTGAAATAACTTTTTGTTTTATTTGAGACAGGGTCTTGCTCTGTTACCCAGGCTGAAATGCAGAGGCACAATTTCTGCTCACTATAACCTCTGCCTCCCAGGTTCAAGCGATCCTCCCACCTTAGCCCCCCAAGTAGCTGGGGCTGTAGGCACATGCCACCATACCTGGCTAATTTTTGTATTTTTTGTATAGACAGCGTTTCACCATGTTGCCCAGGCTGGTCTCGAACTCCTTAGCTCAAGCGATCTTCCCACCTCAACCTCCCAAAGTGCTGGGATAACAGACAAAAGCCACCACGCTTGACCTTATTTTTAAGATGGTGTTTTATACCTCCATAGCTTACAAAGAAAAAACAGGAATCTTTGTAATAACTATCTCTCTATTTCTTTGTATTTTTTTCAGAAGTCAATCTGTAAACATCATTAAGCAATTATGGTATACATCTATATTTTAGAGATGTTAAAAACTTACTATCGGCCAGGCGTGGGGGCTCACGCCTATAATCCTAGCACTTTGGGAGGCTGAGGTGGGCAGATCACTTGAGGCCAGGAGTTCGAGACCAGCCTGGCCAATGTGGTGAAACCCTGTCTCTACTAAAAACACAAAAATAGCCCGGTGTGGTGGTGCATGCCTGTTATCTCAGCTACTCGGGAGGCTGACACATGAGAACAGTTTAAACCTGGGAGGTGGAGGTTGCAGTGAGCCATGACCATCTCACTGTACTCCAGCCTGGGCAACAGGGCAAGACTCTGTCTCAAAAAAAGCCAAAACTTACTATCTATATGTCATCTATTGAAGTACACCATTCATCAATTACCTTAGGGCATCAGCATTCTTTTCTTGTTGGCGTTTAATTCCTTCCTTAATTTTTTCTGGACTAAGCAATATCTGGTTGATAGAGGGGTTTTTTGACTGTTGAAGTAATTCCGCTATTTCAACACATGACTTTGGAATCTTGTTAAAAAGAAAAAAGCAGGAAAAAAAAAAATGAAGTTCTGATGCATACTACCTGAACGAACCTTGAAAATGTTAAGGGAAAGAGGCCAGACACAAAAGTCCACATATTTTATTATTCCATTTATATGAAATATCTAATAACAGGAAAATTTACTGAAAAAGAAAGTGGTTTCCAGGGCTTTGGGGTATGGAAGAATGGGAAGCGACTGCTATTAGGTACTCATTTTGTTTTGGGGCAATGAAAATATTGTGGAGGCCAGACATGGTGGCTCATTTCTGTAATCCCAGCACTTTGGGAGGTCAAGGTGAGGGGACTGCTTGAGGCCAGGAGTTTGAGACCAGCCCTGGGAACACAGCAAGACCCCTGTCTCTCTTAAAAAAAAAAAAAAAAAAAAAAAAATTTAAATTAGCTGGGTGTGGTGGTACACACCTATAGTCCTAGTTACTAGGAAAGTTGAGGCAGGGGATGATTATGCCACTGCACTCTAGCCTTGGGGGACAGAATGAAGCAGAATGAGAATGAGAAACAAACAAAGGAAAATGCTCTGGAATTCAAGTGGTTACACAGCCCTGTGACTATACTATTGTGCATACAACCTGTCCATATTAAAAGGGTGATATTTATGATATGTGAATTACATCTCAATTAAATTTTTTTCTAAAAAATAAAGTATAATCTAAAGACAGTTGCAAATAGCAACGCTATGTTTGATTTAAAAGGAATATATTTAGAACAGTGGTTTTTAAACCAGGGGAGAGATGTCAACCATAGTCACTTTAAGGCAGAGGTGGATTCTGCTGTGCTCATCCTTCTTTTACTCACCCCATGTTCTGAGGGGGTAAAAATACAGATTTGCAGGTTCCTAGAAAACCTGCTATAACTTGCAACCTGAGCACCACTGAAAGTTATACTCTTTAGTCTTTCATTTGTCAAATCATTCAATTTTAGTTTTCTTCACTATAAATTACAGACCCGGACCCAGTAGTCGATCTTTTGTGACTTTGGCTAGCATGGTAAACCTCGTAAAATATAATTAAGTCTTTGAAAAATGAAGCTGTGGACACACACAAAATAAGGGTAAATATAACAAATCAGTAAGCCTTTGTGGAGCCCTGGCTGTCTCCCCACCATGCTCCAACTTGCTACTCTACCTTGTTATCTATGAAAGTACTTAATGATCAATGAAAGTACAAAAAGCAAACAGGTAACAAATGTTTTTTTAAAAAAAACACTGGACTCAAATGCCAAGAATATTATTACTGGAAAAAGGGCAAGAAAAATAAAGGGCATTTTAACAAGGCGGGATTTCCACTAAAACTTGAATGAAAGAATGACATTGCTTACTGTGAAGTCCAAGCCAATTGTTTCATACTGCCTATGAATCTTTTCTGCAAGATCATCAAACAGTCTCACTATTGATGGCTTTTCCAGGGACATTGCTTGGCTAAGCCCTGAAGAAACAATCGCTGGCCAAGTCTGTACAATACAGTCCCAATCATGAAGGTTTGCCAAGCACACACCACTGTGATTTCCAAGGAGACAGTACAAGGCACCCTGCAGAAAAAAATATATACATATGTTTACATGGGAAATAAGAGGCATCGTGTAGTTGTAGCCAACACACCTACATGTTGATTTTAAATGAGTATTGATTACTTAAATGCTTAACATTGGTTAGTAAAATATATTCACACATTGAACATGTTACTTTTTAGAAACTTTAACTTGACATTTAAGTGGCATCCGTTAATATTTTCTCTAAGTCATTTAATACAGAGTTTGGGACAGGTGAGGTGGCTCACGCCTGTAATTCCTGCATTTTGGGAGGCCAAAGCAGGTAGACTGGTTGAGCTCAGGAGTTTGAGAGCCTGGGCAACATGGTGAAACCTCTTCTCTACAAAAAATCAAAAATTAGCTGGGCATGGTGGCACACACCTGTGGTCCCAGCTCCTCAGGAGGCTGAGGTAGGAGGATCACTCAAGCCCAACAGGTCGGAGGCTACAATGAGCTGTGCTTATGCCACTGTACTCCAGCCTAGGTGACACAGCGAGACCCTGTCTCCAAAAAGAAAAAAAGAAATTGCTCAAAGAATGGCTACTAATAAGGTAGTAAAGAAATGTAAGGCTGTTTCTAAGAGCATATATTCCATAGTAATTTTCTTCAAGTATATCATAAAAACCACAAAATGTGCCACTCTTAAAATTTTAGGGTCTAATGTTTGGTGTTTGAAATAATTTATTAAATAGTAGTTAACACCCGGTTGCTGAGTAATTTACAAAGTACATAAAAACTATATTGTGTATTTATTACTCATGAAAGTCCAATTAACCACAATGATTCTGATGACAGCAGGTATCCTTTCTAAAGTGCTTTTTCATAAAAAGAGTTAGTAGTATCAAAATATTTTGATTTTCTTTCTTTTTTTTTTTTTGAGGCAGATTCTTGCTCTGTCGCCCAGGCTGGAGTGCAGTGGCACGATCTTGGCTCACTGCAACCTCCGCCTCCCAGGTTCAAGCGATTCTCCTGCCTCAGCCTCCTGAGTAGCTGGGATTACAGGAGCCCGCCACCACGCCCGGCTAATTTTTGTATTTTTAGTAGAGATGGGGTTTCACCGTGTTGGCCAGGCTGGTCTAGAACTCCTGACCTTATGATCCACCCACCTCGGCCTCCCAAAGTGCTGGGATTACAGGCATGAGCCACCGTGCCCGGCCAATATTTTGATTTTCAACTCACCTCACCTGATTCCAATCTAGCTTGTTACTGACTTTGTATTCCACTCCTCTCTACAGGTTCTCCATAAGGTCACTCATAAGCTGGATTTTGTTGATCTAATAGATATTTTTCGATTGTACTTGACCTCTCTAATTTTGTCCATTTAAACTGCTCTCATTAAGGTCAACAACAGGATAGTCAATGAGTCAAACCTACAAGACTCTTGAATTATACATCTGCACTGGGGGTCAGCAAATATTTTCCATTTGCTCTGTCTCAACTACTCTTCTCTGTCACTGTAGAGTGAAAGTAGCCATACATAATACATAAAGGAATGAACATGACTGTGTTTCAACAGAAGTTTTAAAAAAGCAAACTTTTACTTTTACAAAAGCAAACAAACAGCAACTGAGCCTGGGCTATAGTTTATTGACACCTCTGTCTTACAAGCTTCATGGAACATGTTTAGGGTTCACCTTCATTATCTCCAAAAAAACAAAGAATGTATTCACTGACTCTTCCTTCTAGAAAGACCTCTTTCTGCCTTCTGTGATTCTTCCCTATTTCTTGATACCTTTCTGACCTCTCCAGTGTCACTCAGCTCTTCTATTGGCTTCTAAAGGAGTTTCTCAACATATGCCCCTTGGTCCTCTTCTTAATCTCCTCCTAGGCTTTCTTATCCATGCCCACAGATTTCAATTATCATCAACACACATGGAAATGGTATCTTCGGACTCAGATATCTAACTGCCCACTTGACGGTGCTCTTAGTTCACTAGAACCACTTCAAATTAAACTAGTCCAAATTAACTATGTCATCATCTATTCTACTCTCGCTCTCTCTGATGTGCCCAACAACTAGTTGTAGGATCCAAAAGCTTAGTAATTTTGACATTTCCTTTTTTCAGTCCCCTCATGTTCAATCACCAAGTCCTATCTGTTCTCACTCTTAATTCACTCTCAATCTATTTCTTTCTACCTGACAGTATAAGCAATCATTATATATTATCTATACTCTATTACATCCCCATAGGATGTAGTATTTGCCTTACCCTGTATCATTTCTTTTCTTCTCTACTCCAATTACATAAGCTTTCATACCACTGCTCAAACTTACCATATTTCTTCCTTCCTGTCTTAAGCCCTTCCTTCATGCTGGTCATACTACTCTAAACTTCTTGGTCTTTCATCCCTCTCTGCCACAGGCCAGCCAGACTACTTGGCCACTAGCACTCAAGTTCAACAATTCTTTTCCTCAGGGAAGTCTGCTTCTTACATTTTCTTCATCATAATACTGATCACAAACAGAGGTAAATAAGTAAATAATGAGTCTCATATCGGTATGAAACAAAGATTATACCTTTTTAAAGGTGAATCGTGTTGATATCTTCAATTTACTTTGAAATACATAAAAAAACTGAACAGATATGCGATAAAACAAATATAGCAAAATCTTAAATATTGAATCTCAATGGTGAAGATATGGATGTTTACTGTAGAATTCTTTCAACTTTTCAGTATGTTTGAAAATGTTTACAATAAAACAGAAAAAAAAACCCTGTACCTTGAATTGCTGCTGTGTAACATCTTGTCTATCAGGCCTTAAGAACTCCAAAACCAAGGGAATGATATCTCTGCAACAGAAGTTATATGCTCCCAAGGCAGCAAAAAATGTTTGCTGAGCCTTATTTCTCACCTGGAGGAAGTATTATTAACAAAGGACTTTTATTATATATTAAAGTACAAAGCAGTTTAAAACAAATTTCAAAAACAATAATGATAATTTACATGTTTTTCTCATTAACAAAAGAAATCTCAAAGCAAATATCCTAAAAAGCAAGTAAATGATTATCTTTACTTATATCAAAAGGAAAGCACATTACCACCAACCATATCCATAGTTTAGGTTACACTGACTGAAATACGTTTGATAAAAGTGAGACTGAATGGAACCAATATGCATTTGCTCAGTAACACAGCTAAAAGTAACCAGCATACTACTAAACTTTTTATTCTGAATTACTCTTCATATGAAGAGCCAGATTTTCTCTTCTGTCCACACAAGGAAAATTAAAGAATTTCCAGGAGGAACTTAAATAAACCAAAACAGACACATAACAACTTAAAATTTTTAAGGCAAACCTTAAGCACAATCTCACATATTTTTGACCCAAACAAAACATTAAGTATAAATTTACAACTTATGAACTAGTTAAACAGTAATGGATAATAACTGGTTATAGTGGGCTGGGCACGGTGGCTCACACCTGTAATCCCAGCACTTTGGGAGGCTGAGGCAGGTGGATCACCTGAGGTCAGGAGTTAAGAGACCAGCCTGGCCAACATGGAGAAACCCTGTCTCTACTAAAAACACAAAATTAGCCAGGCATGGTGGTGCATGCCTGTAGTCCCAGTTACCGGGGAGGCCGAGGCAGGAGAATTGCTGGAACTTAGGAGGCGGAGGTTGCAGTAAACTGAGATTGTGCCACTGCACTCAAGCCTGGGTGACAGAGCGAGACTCCATCTCAAACAAACAAACAAAAAAGAGTTTGAAATATGCACAATATGTTGCTTTTCCTATAACCAGTTTTTTTTTTTTCGCTCTGTCACCCAGGCTGGAGTGCAGTGGCGCCATCTTGGCTCACTGCAACCTCTGCCTCCCAGGGTTCAAGCGATTCTCCTGCCTTAGCCTCCCGTGTAGCTGGTACTATAGGTGCATGCCACCACACCTGGCTAATTTTTTGTATTTTTAGGAGGGTGGGGGTTTCACCATGTTGCCAAGCTGGTCTTAAACTCCTGATCTCAAGTGATCCACCCGCCTTGGCCTCCCACTCACAGTGTTGGGATTACAGGCATAAGCCACCATACCTGGCCTCAAACTCATTTTAAACATTACTTCAGAGGGAATCTCTGAGCCAGAGATTAGTTACAGGTTGAGTATCCTTTATCTAAAATGCTCAGGTGCCCAGGCATGGTGGCTCACGCCTGTAATCCCAACACTGTGGGAGGCCCAGGCAGGAAGATTGCTTGAGCCCAGGAGTTCGAGCCAGCCTGGGCAATACAGCAAGACCTTGTCTCTACTAAAAATGAAAAAATTAGTCCAGCATGGTGGCGCATGCCTGTAATCCCAGCTATTCAGGAGGCTGAGATAAGATGAGCACTTGAGCTCAAGCTCAAGGCTACAAGGCTTGAGTTCAAGATGAGTTCAGGGCAGTGTATGCCCAGCTATTCAGAAAGCTGAGGTGAGAAAATCGCTTGAGCTCAAGCTCAAGGCTTGAGTTCAGGGCTACAGTAGGCTGTGATCACACCGCTGCACTGCAGCCTGGGTAACAGAGACCGTGTCTCAAAAAATAAAAATAAAGTAAAATAAAATGCTCAGGACCGGAAATGTTTTGGATTTGAGATTTTTTTCCGATTTTGAAACATGTGGATTATAAACTTCCTGGGTAATCATCCCAAATCCAAAAATCTGAAATCAGGAATGCTCCAACAAACATTTCCTTCGAGCATCAGGTTGGTGCTCAAAAAGTTTTGGATTCTGGAGCATTTTGGGTTTCCAATGCTTAACCTGTAGCTAATTTACATTATTTTACAAACATAGAATAATTGTTGCACATGAATCTCTTTTGCTTCCACTATCTTAAAAGACAGCCCTCACAATTCATGCGGTAGCAGCTTCCTAAAACCCAAGCATAATGTCTAGGAGGAATTATGTGGCCTTCGTAGACTGGACTTCAAAATGTGATTGAAGTGCCAGCAATATCACACTATCACTGTCTTCCAAATTTAAGTAAATGAGAAGCAATTACAAATAGCAACATTAAGCATTATAAAAAAATGACTAGCAAACTTAGCTTGAATATATTTGCAATTTGAAAGCTGTTTTCTTTTTTTTTTTTTTTTTGAGACAGAGTCTCGCTCTGTCGCCCAGGCTAGAGTGCAGTGGCCGGATCTCAGCTCACTGCAAGCTCTGCCTCCCGGGTTTACGCCATTCTCCTGCCTCAGCCTCCCACGTAGGCGCCCGCCACCTCGCCTGGCTAGTTTTTCGTATTTTTTAGTAGAGACAGGGTTTCACCGTGTTAGCCAGGATGGTCTCGATCTCCTAACCTTGTGATCCGCCCGTCTCGGCCTCCCAAAGTACTGGGATTACAGGCTTGAGTCACCGCGCCCGGCCTGAAAGCTGTTTTCTATGCTAACACGAGTTAAGAGAGCCTAGCTTTTGGTTCTGGTTTTATTACTTCTTGGATGTAATTACTGGAAATTACAATTTCCAATCATTGAGAGAATAATTCCAATTATGGGAGCAATTATTTAAACTCTCTTGTTAAAAGGGGGAAATAAAGATTGCATGTAATAAAATGGGAGGGCAGGAGGAGAGTGCCGTGTTTGGATAAACCTTACCTGACTGTATGAACTTGTAGATAAGCGAAGAAGATCTCTGATCATATCTTGATGTATCTTTTTGTATTCACAACCCTCAACAGTTAGTGTCCGTAGCTAAGAAAACAATTGCAAAGTATTTACTAAAATTTAATTATGAAAACACAACTAAATACTCATCTGGAAAACTGGCATTTTAAAAAGTCACTATGACTGAAAAACATATTTACCTCATGCTGTAACATTACTCTATCAATCAACAGTGCTCTGATATGTTGTTTTTTCCCATGGAGCTGGAAAACAAAGTAGCAAAAAATATTTCAACATTTTCACTAACTGACTTCAACAATGGATGCCTCTAAATACCTTAGTAAGTGGTCAAAAAGGTCCCTGGTTGGCTGGTGAGTGGTGGTGGTATTTCCTTTATTCTAAAGACATCAGGCTTATATAAAAATATGCTATCTTAATTAATTTTATGGGTAATAGTAGAAATATCCCCCTTTTAAATAGCCCATCCAACACCCAGTTTTTCTCTGATAGTTTACTACTAGACCCACGCATGGGAGAGCAACAGAGTTGTGTTCTTATTCAGCTAAATACTGCAAGTACAAAAACAGCCTACTAAGACAATTGCTCAACTCTCTGAAATCTATAAATAGCCATAGCCTTTCAGGGTAATAATATATGTTTAGTACAAAATTTAATAATAATATCTTTTAGATTTCTAAAAGTTATAATTTAAGCTTTTATCCATATAATCTTCTACCTGGTCACCAAAGGCAGATAGTTGAGGCTCAAAGACTATTCTTCTTCCACACCACAGCTCCTTAGTCATTAGGCCTCCCAATTCTACCATTTTCAAAACATGTTATTTCCATTTCAAGACCAGTGACTTGACTCAGGCTGTGTTTTTCACCTGGAGTGTAATAGTTAACTCCCTTTCTTGCTTCCAGTATCAATCTCTCTGTACTTACTGTTCACAGTGGTGGCAGAGCTTTTTAATGTTTAGTGAATTGTTGACTTTTCCAATCAATATTCAAATCAGATCTACTTAAGAACCGTTAACGACTCTCCCACTGGTGAATATAAAACTGAAGCACTTTCTCACAACAAAGTAAAAACAACCTAGTTTACCCCCTACAGCCACTGGCCCCTAAAGCATGTGATGTTTTTATATCTCCTTGCCCTTTTACATGCCATTCCTTCTGCCTGAAGTATCTAGCAACTGTTGTCTAAACAATGAACTCACACAACCTTTTTACACTCGATTTCAGTAAAAGTTTCTGGTATAAGAACACTGCCATCAACATCTCTTGGCTTACACTGATACTCTTTCTTCCGGGGTCCCAAAGAAGCTTACGATGACTTCTACTGCAGCATGAATATAATACAAGGTAACTTTTTCTCAGATCTACATAAAGTGCAATGCTTTAAGTTCATTCCTGTAGATAATTCCTCCTATTTTTAAATTCCTTCAAGTTCTTACAAGGTAGTCTCAATGCTATTGTCCAAATTCCCATTGAGAGTTTAGAGACTATCATGGAAACAGGCAGCAGATTCTGTATAAGAAAAACACATTTTTTGCTAGGATCCATTTGATTTCTACCATGATATTTTTAACTTTTACATATTTTTAAATCTACTATTTTTCCTTTTAGGGAAACTTCCTCTATATGATGAATAATATCCAAACTAGGAGGTTATTATACATCTTTAAAAAAAAAATTAGTGCAGACTTTTAGGTGAAAATACTGACCCGATTTTCCATTGATTTCTTTACTAAGTTGAAGCTTTTCCATCGGGAGTCAAATTCATGCTTGTGAGATCCTTGGAATTGCAAAAGGTCTCCAATAATCTGTGTCAAAGAATTTCAAATTGTATTTGCAAGTCATCAATCCAAGCTTTATCATATTAATAATTATGCAACTATTAAATGACAACTGTACCTTTATAATAAGAAATAATGACTTGGTATCATCTTCTGAATTATCAAGTATGTGGTCTATAATGGGAGAAGGAAAAGGATTTTGGTTAAAATATTTTGAACTACTATAAGAATCTTGAGGCATCAGTTAAGAATCCATTAAGAAAAAAAATCACTGCACAATATTCTCACCATTTAGAATAAAAAACGTTAAGTAAACACATGCATGTTATAAATTAAAATTCCAAAATACTTATTCCAAAGTACAAATAAGTTAAATGTACAGATATACTTACTAAGAAGTTTCCTTATAACTGCAGCAATTGCTTCGCGGTGGTTCTCTCGAGACAGATCTATTTTGAAAACATAAAAGAAGGTATTTTAGACACTGAATGCTCCTCAGACTTTTAAAGTTAATATCAACAGGTTAGGTCAAGACGGGATAAACTATTGGAGAAAAAAATAGGTCTGCCTTCACCATAGCTGGATTAGTGGCTAGGCATGTTACAGCAACTTCTAAAACCTCTACACTTAAATGACCTGCTTAATGAGATGTCTCTCATGCTTCAAGATAAAGAAAAATAATAATAATACTAAAAAATAAATAAAATGACCTGCTTATAAAACTTCATGGGGCAAGAAGGTGGGAGGGGCGAGGGAAAGAAAAACCACCCTTGCTGATATTTCAAGGCTCTAGTCACTAATTAGAGATTAAAATACATGGAATTTTCTAATTAGTGGCTGACCTAAGTCAAGCAATTACACCCTAGCAATTAATGTATGTAACTAACTTTAGTGTTAATCCAGCAATGAGAAAGGGTGCTAAATTTCTAGTCATGTTATATTCGGAACATTAACGATAAAATGTTTTATGTAAATGTTATTATAAAACTTTATTATGATAGGAGGGTATAAAGTTCATTCAAATATAGGGTTACAATATTCCTATTTGCACCAAGTATAATATATAAGTGCTAGAATAATTTTATGAACATTATGATATATAAAAGCCTACCTCTGTACATAGCATTCAAATACAGATTGACCCAATTTCTTACTGGCTATTCTTTAAATAATAATTTTCCAGTTTCTCCAGAATAGGCAAAAATGAGTACTGCATAATTAATATTCTTTTCATATATCAAAAAAGAGATTAGGAACATCATAATACAAAATTACTTCATTTTAGGCCGGGCAGGGTGGCTCACGGTTGTAATCCCAGCACTCTGGGAAGCGGAACTGGGAAGATCACTTGATGTCAGGAGCTGGAGACCAGCCTGGCCACCACGGTGAAACTCTGTCTCTACCAAAAATATATAACTTAGCTGGGCTTGGTGGCGCATGCCTGTAATCATAGCTCTTTGGGAGGCTGAGGCAAGGAGAATCGTTTGAACCCAGGAGGCAGGGGTTGCAGTGAGCAGAGACCGCGTCACCACATTCCAGCCTGGGCAACAGAGTGAGACTCCGTCTCAAAACAAAACAAAACAAAAACACTACTTCATACTTCATTTTGTCCTTGCGGAGTTACTGACAAAAATAATCCACACAGATTTACTAGGATTAGGATTCACATACCATATTCAAGTCCAGTATACAACTTTGTCTCTTCCAAGGACACCATACTTGGTACTCTGTATAAAAACAAGAGTGCTTGCATTTATTAATAATACCAATATGAAGTATTAAAGGGAAAAGTTGCATTGCTGGACTGTTTAAACCAAAACAAAGATTATGTTCTTTTAACAGACACAGATTTCCCATCTTCAATGGAAAAAATCAATCTATCTTTCTCAAGATCAATGCTGTTTCAGTAGGAATCATGTTATTTATCTTAAAGAAAAAATGTAGTAACTTCAGGGAGCCTCCTAAAGGAACATAATATTGATACCCAATATTCAAATGTAAAAGATTAAATACGATAAACATTTATATAAAGAAAACTCAGCTTAATAATGGTACAATAGTTAAAACTCACAAATTTTACTAAAGCATATAGAACTGACAAGCTTATTTAGATAATCATTACCCTTCCTCTTAAAGTCAGTCAAACACATCTCTCCTAACATGTGCAATAAAAAGACCTCTTTTCGAAGAAATTCAGGTGTAAAAATCACTGTTTCCTAATTAAAGATCTGCCATAAAGAATTAGGATGCCACAACCAGAGGCTACCCTGAGCCTATAAACAGCAGCCCTGCTCTGCAAGGCTACCACAACCAGACCCAACCAGTTAAATTCATTAAACAGTTAAAAGTCACTTTTTACATATGCAAGAACAGATTTTATAGGAAAATGAGAATTGATATATCTGAAATCTACATTTTCTCTAGTGAAAAATATACCTCATTTTCAATATTTTATTTCAAAATACGAGATTCAATTCAAAGCTTTTATTAAACAAAGAGATACATTCTAAAAGGAAAAACAGGCACAAATGCGGCAAGCATATAGTTAATAAACAGCAATCTGATTATTATTACTAATCACCAATGAACTGCACAGCACTTGCCATGAAGAAAATAACATTTTTAAATCAGCACATCCTGAGCTATATTGTATACCCTCAAAAAGTAGCTGAATTAAATGGGTTATCTCTACCTTAATATTTGACAATTATGAATTCAGGCATTTAGGTAATAGGAAAAAACATTTCTAAAATGTCAGTTACTTAACTATGTTCCTCACCATAACCCAGTACAGAGGATAGCAACAATACCTTCTCAAGTTTCAAAACCAAGCCCATAGAGTATAAACAAAGAATGGCTTCTTTTTCACTAACTTACTTCAAAGCTTAATATTTGTTTTCCTTCTATAAAGCTTCAACCACTGGCAAACTTGAGCATCTTATATATTTTTGCGTGATCAAAAATATGTATGTATCCAAAATCTGTTAGTAGAAAATAAAATCAGATTCCTTTACATGAACGTCAAGTCTTTACTGAAATTAGATTTCACCAAAGAGAAAAGGCCTGTACTCAAGAGTAACAAGAATAAAACACAAGAGGGTTCCCACCCTCCCCCCTGCCATTGTTAGAGCAAGGGGAAGTGCTTGCTGTGAGCCATCCCATTAGAGTATGTGTCTCCCCACTGCTGCCATAAACAGTTTCTGAAGGAGAAATATACAGCCTGCAGCTTACCCAGTCTGTATCTAATGCCATATAACATTAAGTCAAGCATGAACTTTAACTACTGTCACTTTAGTTACAATCATGTTATACAAATAAGAGAAAAAAAGCATTCTTTATGACCAATTATTCTCCATAGGTTTTACTATATCAAAAAAGCTGTCATTTGGGAATTTAAAGTTTTTCAAACAAATTTCATCTAAGAGTCCTGACACCAAATTTCTTAAAATCCATGTGACACTTTGAATTGTTTTGTTACCAGGGAATCTGAAAAATTATCACTTATGCTGACTACTTTTAAAAATCCTGTATAAGATTGTAAAATATTAAGTAATATATTTAAATAAAAGCCTTATCTTCTTCCTTTACTTTTAAAACTTAGATTAAAATACAGCGTCCATATCTCCTACAAAGAGCTGACCCTTGAACAACACAGGTGTGGGTCTACTTACACGCAGATTTTTTTTTCAACTAAATGTATCAGCCAGATGAGAAATCTACACATTATGGAAGGCTGACTTTTCGTGTATGCGAGCTCTACAGGGCCTACTGTGGCACTTGAGGATGAGTGGATTTTGGTATGCTGTGGGTCCAATCTCCTAACTACACCAAGGGAAGACTATATATAGGACATATCTGGGTAGTACACATTACAGCTTTTAGTTATTCTTATCCACCATAATTTGATATTTTCTTGCCTACCACAAATTAACTGGCTTAGCATGTTTTACAGTAACTGCTTCTCAGCAAGTGTAGCTATTTACTTTTTTCTTTTTTTCAAGACAGGATCTCCCTCTGTCACCCAGGCTGCAGTGCAGTGGTACGATCATGGCTCACTGCAGCCCCAACCTTCCCAGTTCAAGTGGACTCACACACACTTCGGGCTCTTGAACGTCACCAAGTCAGCTAATTTGTTTATTTATTTTTTGGTAGAGACAGGGTCTCGCTATGATGCCCAAGTTGGTCTCAAACGCCTGGTCCCAAGTAATCCTCCCACCTCCACCTCCCAAAGCACTGGGATTATAGGCATGAGCCATAGTGCTCTACCTCTTCTGACCTTTAGAAGATTTTTTATGAAAAGAAATCTCTATCCATTACCCAAGTAAAATATTATGACTCTATCTCTTTGTGATGTTATAGATCTACTTGTGCCCAGAATGTAATCTCTGATATATAAAATGGTTCTAGTAGCTTTTAGCTATGCACATAATCTTAGGTGAATAGGCTTAAGGCACTGTCTTACAGATCTATATTCTGACTAAAAGCTATAGTAATAGTATGTAAGTTAAATCAAATTCCATCACTACCTTCCCCTTCCCCATGTGAAATCCATCCTACTCATTCACTAGTTCATTTTATAAACCATATTATCATTTAACCTAAGGAACAGTACAATTCAAAAAAATAATTCCAGCACAACATACTGTAAATAACACCTCTATATAATAATAATAAAGTTAAATCTGCTTCATAGCTTCTAGATAGTACCAGGCCACCTAACTTATAGTACAATGTATTAAAATATTTGTACCACTAAAAAAAGACCTATGAATGTTCAACAACTATAGTATTCATACCACTAGATGGCAATCTTTCTTAGATATGATTAGAGCAGAACTATGAAAAGAATCGCTGATAGGAAAGAAGGGATGGTGAAAAATAACTATTAACACAAAAACAAAATATATAATACAAATCACATATGTAAATGAAGGCTGGGTGAATTGTCATGAAACAGCTGTAAACAATAATATAAAATTCTTCCTGTGTATAAGTGAAAGAACATCCTATCTTCCCAATAATCCTTCCCCTTCTAAATAAAAATAAACATAAAAGATGTAAAACCAAGCCACTAAAAGATTTTTTTTCCCTTCAAAGTATAAATGCTTCACAAGAGACAATTAGGCCTATTTTTGTGTTCTATTATCCAATTCAATCCTAGGTAGCAATAATAACTACAAACACAAACGAAAACCTGGCTCTTACCCTGCCAAGTGAACAAAGAGTTGCTAAGTAAAGAGAAATCTTATATGCTGCTAGATTTTAAATTAACTCTGAAAACAGGAACTATTTCCAAGTCTGACACACAAGCTTTTAAAAATAAATGAAAACAGTCAGAAGGTGAAATAAGGAGAAAACAGGGTTACTCACCGTGGAGTAGTAACTGTTTCCTTTTCTGTGTGCAGCTCCCCCAGCAGAGCTGGGTAGTTTCCTGGAGGTGCCAAGAGAGGTTAGCTAGCCCTGCCCCTCATTGCATAAGCAACACATCCTTTCACATATCAATGAAATGGTCTCACTATCAGACCTTAAGTATGAATTTCTTTGAGTGAAAAGTTAGTAAAAGCTGAGATCCTAAGGATGATTTAACTAAAAATAACGTAATAAATCTATCAGAGGAAAGGGGGCACAAAGTAAAGAAATATTTTGAGATGAAAAATGACTCCTCTACCTTGAGTAACCCTGTTTTTTAGATGTTAGTTTTTTGCATCCTGTGATAGCTGGTTAGACCTAAAAGATTATTTAGAGAATGGACTGCAAAAGGAAAAATGAATGACGATTTCGGGATTAAAGGCAAGTGTCCAAAATTCCTGTGACTCTGGAAAGACATAATCCAACTTCCACATCTATAAAGGTAGAATTATGAGTATAAACTATACCACAAATATTTCTCTTAAAACACTATCTAAAGGTTCCAAGAGCAAAATAGGTCTTATTTTAAGATTAATTCAGCAACCTGTGATATCTGACAAAACTGTTAGAAATTCAAATTGTTTTCAATGGTACGAAATAAGAAAAAATTTACCCTTAATTACCCACAATTACTTTATTATATCCATCCTTGGAAACTGTAAAGTTTATAGTAAGTATAAGATATTTAGTGGCTGGGCGCAGTGGCTCACGCCTGTAATCCCAGCACTTTGGGAGGCAGAGGTGGGTGGATCACGAGGTCAGGAGTTCAAGACCAGTCTGGCCAAGATGCTGAAACCCCATCTCTACTAAAAATACAAAAATTAGCCGGGCATGGTGGCATATGCCTGTAATCCCAGCTACCCAGGAGGCTGAGACTAGAGAATCACTTGAACCTGGGAGGCGGAGGCTGCAGTGAGCTGAGATTGTGCCACTGCACTCCTGCCTAGGCAACGAGAGTGAAACTCCGTTTCAAAAAAAAAAAAAAGATATTTAGTAACTCTATATTGCTAAAGGCCCAAGGTACACGGTATCTCCAAAGTGGATACCAATAGGTAGATCATTTACTTTTATGCTTAGGACATGGCTTTTTACTTGTTGTCAATCTCTAATATAATAATATAGCACAGAAGATAGGTCTTCCCATTTAGTAGCCACTCCCCTGAACAATGAGATTTTAAGACCATCCCACATACCCTATTAGGACTAAGTTAGATATTCTCACAGGAAAACTAAAAAGTAACCTAAGATTTGGCTGGGGCGTGGTGGCTCATGCCTGCCAGTAATCCCAGCACTTTTGGATGTGGAGACAGGTGGATCACCTGAGCTCAGGAAATTGAGACCAGCCTAGGCAACATAGCGAAACCCCATCTCTACAAAAAATACGAAAATTAACTGGGCGTGGTGACCCACGCCTACAGTCTCAGTTATTTGGGAGCTAACATGGGAGGATCACTTGAGTCCAGGAGATGGAGAGTGCAGTGAACCAAGATTGTGTCACTGCATTCCAACTTGGGCAACAGAGCAAGACCCTATCTCAAAAGAACTAAAAAAATAAATACATAAATAAAAAAGCCGGTGTGGTGGCTCACACCTGTAATCCTAGCACTTTGGGAGGCCAAGGTGGGAGGATCACTTGAGCTCAGAGACTAGCCTGGGCAACATAGTGAGACCTTGTCTCTATTTTTTTTTTAAAGAAGAAAAAAAAAGAAGTAAACTAAGCTTCTAGGGGTTTTTTTGTTTGGTTGGTTTTTTTTTTTTATCACTGTACTCTTTCTTCCAGAAGACAAAGACTACTAATACACACACAAGGCAATCTTAATACTGAGTAATCTGACAAAAAAAATTATACCAGCTAGAATTTTACCTAAGATTTATATAAATTTAAATGTTTTAAAAAAGAATTATATAAAGCTGAATGTGGTGGCTCACGCCTATAATCCAGCACTTTTGGAGGTCGAGGCAGGCAGATCACTTGAGGTCAGCAGTTCGAGACCAGCTTGGCCAACATGGTGAAACCCTGTCTCTACTAAAAATACAAAAATTAGCCGGTGTGGTGGTGTGAGTCTGCAATACTACCTACTTGAGAGGGTGAGGCAGGATAATAGCTTGAACCCAGGAGGCAGAGGTTGCAGTGAGCCAAGACAGCGCCATTGCACTCTAGCCTGGGTGACAAAAGCGAAACTCCACCTCAAAAAAAATTAAAATACAAAAATTAGCTGGGTGTGGTGGCGGGTGCCCATAATCCCAGCTACTCAGGAGGCTGAGGAAGGACAATCGCTTGAACCTGGGAGGTGGAGGTCGCAGCGAGCTGAGATCACACACTTCACTCCAGCCTGGGCAACAGAGCAAGACTGTCTCAAAAAAAAAAAAAAAAAAAAAAAGAATCATGAATTGCTATGTGCTTCTAAAAACTGGGCTGGTATTTCAGAAAATGCATAATGTCTCCTAATACCACAGCCAAACTGTTATTAACAATAGATATTTTCCTCAGACATCTTAAGACATTACACTAAAATATTCATATAACAATTATGTGTTTCATTTTCTCCCTGACCTAATACATTTTCCCATTTCCTATGGAGCAACTAATGTGCTAAGTTAATTCTCTTTCTCTACTAGTTTCAAACTGATCTGCTGATAATCACCATAAATTATGCTATAGATATTCATTCTTCACACCAGGCAGTATGAATTTGTATCAAAGAACAATGGGACCATCTATTGGAATAACTGTATTAGTTTTTTCAAATCAATTTAGATTTAGAAGATTTTAACAATTACTAACCTATATTAAAATAAGCATTTTAGAAATTTTAAAGGCTATTTTACGATACTTTATGAGATTAACCATCTGTTAAAAAAAAGTAAAAATGTTACACATAGGAAATAAATGTCAAAAGCTGTACTTTGCCAAAATAAAGCTTCAGCTGAAGGTAATGACAGTTATAAATTAAATACAATTCTATTAAGAACTTGTAAAAGCCAAAGGAAGACTTAAAACTCCCTCTTTTGGCAATTCAAAGGCAAAGAGATGTTCATTTATTCTTAATTCTACTTTATATAATCACTATCCCCCACAGATATATGTAACTAAAAACAACCCTAAAAATACGTATTATTCAATGATTTTTAAAAATTGAAGTTTTATTTCATTATATTATTAGGTATATATCAGGAAGCATTTTATATTTTTATCTATATATGTTTAAATATATAAACATGTACATATATTTAATATAGATTTTTATTACTTCATTACATTATTACATTAAATTTTCACTCTAAATGTGCAAGCGCTAAAACGCAAAACCTTTCAGGCTAAATTTATCTTTCCTTTTTAACTTTTCTGGGAAAAGCCAATAAAAGGATACTCAGGATCAATTTTATAGCTTATAATACATAGTAATATAAACTAATAGTCTGTATTATATGGTATTCGTAAGATTATCATAATATATTCTTTTCCTTATTAAAATGCACTTCATTATACAAAAATCTAATTGGTTTTATAATAATCAAATATATGAAGCTTTTGTCATGATGCACATTTATTTCAAAGGATAAAGCCTTTTGCTTCAACTCACTCTTACAATGTACATGTTATCAAGACATAGGCTGATACGAACTGCAAGGAAAATTCCTTGGCCTCTTTGGCAGACCTTTCAGCAGTGCATCCTAATGATCACTCAGTACTAAAAATTTACTAACATTAAAAACACATGCTTTTGCTCTTAAATTGTTGGATTAAATGACCACAATTCTAATTGTTGACACTTTCAAGCAGAACTCAATTTGCTGACGTGCTAGGTTTGCTAAGTATGAAATAGCTTTTTGCATGCCATAAAAGGGTCAAGTTCTTACTGTAATACACACTGCTAAGATCACAGGTGAAAATCAAAATAATTTTTGAAGGCTCTTATTTTTAAATATTATTCAAAATCAATCTTTTTTTCTGGTACAAATCCTCTTATATCAAACAACAAAACTAATGAAAAACAAAAGTTCTTTAAAAAAGAATTCGGCAAATTCCTAGACATATTTATAACAGATGTCCTTACCTGAAATGACCCTAACTTCTCCTTCTTAAACTTAATAATCTAAAAAGCTCAACGCCTAAGAACAATTTTTTAGAGTGAAAAAAATGGGAAATGCATGACTCCAAACAATGACTACACAAAGTATGGGAAAGACACGTAAGCCACATTTTGAAACCACTTCTTGAGGCTTTTTAACGTTTTTGTTGCAAAATCAGTAAATCATTTTCCCCTTTGTGTTTTTTGAGGGGGAAGAGAGGGCACTTACTAATTGAATGTTATTTACATGTGATTTCATTAACTTGCTTAGTAACGAGATACTGATGTTGAAAAAAATGATCTTAATATATTTAAATTATTATCTACTTAATAATTAAGCTAAAATTAATATATACTGCTGATTTTATGCTTTTTCTTTTTTTTTTTAATTTTTTTTGAGACAGGGTCTCACTCTGTTGCCCAGGCTAGAGTGCAGCAGCATGATCTCGGCTCACTGCAACCTCCGCCTCCCAGGCTCAAGCAATCCTCCCACCTCAGCTGGGACTACAGGTATGTGCCACCACGCCCAGCTCATTTTTGTATTCTTTGTAGAGACAGGGGTTTGCCATGTCATCTGGGCTGATCTCGAACTCCTGCACTCAAAGGATCTTCCTGCCTCATAAGCCACCACACTGGGCCTCTGCTGATTTTATTCTAACTTAATTTTTTTCACCTTAAATGGCAGAACTAACAATGGATTCAATTTAGCTATTCATTCAAAGTAATAACACTCTGAAAACACTTAAAAAATCATAACAAACTGACAGATACAAAAAGTTCAAAATCATAATGAATAAGATTGAAGAAATCTTTATTTTTTTAAAAAAGATTTTTGCTACAAAATCCTAAATCAACATTTGCTACAGACAAAAAAAAGTAGTATTTTTCCTTTTTAAAAGAACATCATTTATTTTAATTAACTCAGTAAACTAATAGATTCACTTAATATCTTCACATTTGATATTTTAAAATTAATACCTGAAGTTATTCTATCCTGGTACCATGGGAAAATCTGAATAAAGCCTTCAGGTTTATAGACCTAAATTGTACCTCTGATATTTTTGACCTTAACAGTGACAAATAAAAAGGTTAAAGTGATACAGAAGTAACAGCAATAACAATAACAAACCAATAACTCATTAAGTGACTAAGACCTAAAATATATGCTAAGTGGCAAAACAAAGTAGTTATTTTTACTTACAAGTTAGTAACTGGCTCTCCTTTCAACGGAGGTAGGAGGTTTCCAGAGCCAATTAAACAGTTGTGCACTATAGTCAGACTCTGTAGAATATCATCTCTAGAAAAAAACGAAAGACATTTCATATTTTAGAAGACTCCAAATCCCTATTTAACAAGCCTGCTAGAGCCTAGCACAAAAGTTTTATCATGTGGGGATATAAATGATTAAGGTAAAGAAATAACAAATGTCTTCAGTTTACCAACAGTAAAGAACAATTAAACATATATTTATTGCTAACACTATGCTTGCTTACATTTAAACAGGCTCTAAATAATCACAAGTAACAATAATTAACTGCCCTTTGTGAAACAACTGTTAATTTAAGCATCCCTTTACCGAAGACCACTGCCACTAATAAAAAGAGGAAATAATGCTACAGAAGATCTTCCAGCTTATTCCATCTTTTAAAAATGGGACTAGTTAAACATTTACTCCAAAAAGCAGTTCAGAGCACGACAGAGTTAATGTTAGTCAATCACACTTCTTTCTCCAAGCCCATTCCTAAATCTGCTTATGAAAAATTTGTGGCGTTTGACACATTAACTTTCTTGCTATTATTTCAGAAACTTTCAAAGATTCAAACTATGAAAGTCTAATGGTTTCAAATACTTATTTCTTGTTAAATACCTGTGGAACAAGAAACAAAAATCTCACAGAAATAATTCTCAAAATAACATTTTGAGAACAACACAATAAAATCTAAGCTGAGTCTAGGAAAACAGGCATTCCTTTCAAAGAAGGTATATCTATGTCCACACTTTCCAAAAGATATACAAGTGAACCTGCTAAGTAGAAGGTAATAAAAAAAAAATTAGAAAAAGAAACCCAGACTTTTTGTGTTTAAAATGTTTAAGTGTTGTCAAATTTTCTGTTATACAACATTATATTAAATGATTTAAGTACATGTACAGCAGATTTTCAAAACACAATCGAAAATGAATACATGAGCTATGCCACAGATAAAGCGACAAAACACGTCTGTACTCTGCAACTGAATAACTCTAATTATAAAATAAAACCAACCTAGACATTTCAAGTTTTCCATCCCCACAATGTTGGAGTTTGATAAGCTCAGGCTGAAGAAAGGAGTCCAAAAGATAAAAGGCAAAAGACACTTCTTCTAAAGAAGGAACATGCCACTGGATTCCCAGATTCCATAAGTCCCCGGGTTTGCCCCAGTCCTAGAAAAGAACAGCATCTACTCAGCAAGTTGAGAAATTAAAAACGGTAACAACAACAAACCCACATACATATACACAATTTTTAACATTTAAAAGAAAATGTACACATAATCCAAACCTAAGCTAGCAAATGACATACAAAAAAGTAGCATGAAAACAACATCTTATTGCCTCTTCGTTATCACTCCTGAAAAAAGTCTCCCTGAAGAGTACTCATTATAATATGAGTTTGCTCTAAGAGTGATACTATAAAAGTGACAATGAGTTTATGTGAGGCTTAATTTAGCAATAAAATTATATTAGACTACAGACATTAGATACGGCATACCAAGTTGTTTCACATACCAACAGGAAAGAAAACTAGAGTTTTAGTTTCATGCAAAGTGAGACAGCACAAGTTTCACACATTCCAATAATAGTTTTAATAATCTATCTTAAAAATAAAAAACTAACATCTTTATATGCAAAAAAAATAACACTTTGAATCCCTTAAAACAAAAAACATCAACATATCCTTGAATCCTAAAGTATTGAAAATGCTTGCCTTGATAGGAAAGTATTCAGAAGGAGGCTTGTCAAAGCCACCTGGCACACTGCAGTATTCTGTAGGGTAGATAAGTGTGGTAGAACGCAGAAGATGATGCAAAAGGTTACAAGACAGAGTGTAACCCTGCTTACAGGTTAAATGTAGGGTTCTCTGGAGAATCTTTACAAGCTGCTCCCTATAAAGAAGCAACTTCCTTCCATCCACTCGGGTAATCTAAAAAGAGGGAAAAAATAGTTGAAGATATTTTGGTTAAAAGACCAAGAACCAGTCATTAATGCAAAGTTCAATGTTTGGCCACTAACATAGTCTAAAATAGTGTTTCTCTAAATGACTTTAACTAATTTTAGGATTTTCATTTTAACTGTATTCTAATTATTTGTTTGTGAAATCAAACACATTTTCTGAGCTTAAGTTTTCATGCACCATAGTAACATCCCTTTCAAAAGAGTCTATTCTCCTAAGAAGACTAAACCTAATTAAACTTTTTTTTTTTT